GGTTGTAGAAGTGGATACACAGCTAAGAACATGAGGGAGAGCCTGAGTGCAAAGCCCCAGAACCCATGTGAAGCTAATGCAAAACCAGCTGCAACCCCAGTGCCCCTCACCAAACAGGGGGTGGAGACAGGAGAGTGTTGGGGCTTACCAGCTGCTGGTCTAACTCCAGGTTCAGTGAAAGACTCTCTCAATGGTTTGATAGAACAGGATGCTTGACACTGTTCTCTGGCCTCCATGTGTGCATGGGCATGTGTACTAGACACACACACACACACACACACACACACACACACACACACCTTAAGTGCTGAAAAAATTATGGGTAAATAAAAAGTCAGGTCTGGTCTCTCAAGAACCTTGCATTTTAGTTGACAGAAGCAAACACCAAGAAATTATGGACACCTGAGAAAACTGCAGTGGGCTAGTGTTGGGAGACAACACTGCTGCTAAATGGAGGGATTAAGGAATTCCTTAGAGCAGAGACTATTCAAACACAGACTGATATGATGAATGATTTCTGAAACATCAACTTAGAATTTGGAGAAAACTGCAGACAGTGAGACAGGTATCAAAGGCCATGACTGGAATGTTCTGGGTGTGTTCAAGGACAGATTGAAAAGGGATGTGTCTGGGACCCAGTGAAGAAAGAAGGAAAGCAGAGGGATGAGGCCAGAAGGCTGCATGAGCATCAGATAGGGAGGAGCTTTGAAGCTCTGTGAGGAAACTAGATTTTCTCAGTGCTATCTTGGGGTGTTTGAACAGAAAGATGAAAGGATTTCTTCCTTTTAAAAAATGTTTTCTTATATACATTGATAATATACATCAAGATACACATATTTATAATACAATTAGATTGTTAAAGTGCACTCCAATTTCCTTATTTGTAAGTCAATCATTATATATGTCTATATGTATATGTAATAATATACATATGCTACATGTATATGTAGTATACCAGCATTTTAGTCAAAAATGGATGACATAGAGTAGAATGAACTCTTAAGAGAAAGAGAAAGGACATGAAGTTGGCTGGGTAGGGAAACAGAGAGGAGTTGGGAGAGAGGAAAGAATATAATAAAAATATATTGTATGAAAACCTTTAATAAAAATTTTTAAAAGATTATGTTTCCCAAGAGTGTAATAGTGATCTTGTGTGTTTATGTGCATTTTATCATTGCATAATAACAAAAGCAACTGACAACACATTTCTTAAAACATATACTTGCCATTATGTGAAATAAATGCCTATAAATGCAATATATCATAAAATGTAACATTAAATAATAAAATGAACTTCATCCTGATTCACTTTCTATTGTATGATTTGCCAGAGTCTAACTTAATAGTGGGAGGGATCAGCATTATTGTATGTCCAGTCACATACATTCTTCCTGGAGTTAGATATGTTTAAGGTGACAATAGTTTGACATCACCTCTCAAGCTTTAACTAGTATACATAAAACCTGGTAAATATTCACACAGTATTTGCTAAGTTCTCATAATGAGTGAATATGAGTATTGATTAGAAACACTAGCCTTCTGAATGCCACTCTCGAGACTGAACTTTTTTTATTACTTTAATTTTAAATAGCTTGCTTCACATGTCAATCCCAGTTCCCTCTCACTCCCCTCCTCCTGCATCCCCCCCAACCTCCCACCCTATCGCCATTTCCTTCCACATAGTGGATATCTAGAGTCTGTCATTTCACTCAGGGCAGGGTCCAGGCACTCCCCTAAGAGTCCAGGCTGAGAGAGCATCCCTCTTTGTGCTATGGACACACGAAGTCCATTTTTATGCCAGGGATAAACACGGATATACTGCCCAGGGTCCCATATGTTGCCCAGGCCTCCTCAATGACTCTCACACTCAGGGGGTCTGGATCAGTCCCATGCTGGCCTCCCAGCTGTCGGTCTGGGGTCCAAGAGCTCCCCTTTGTTCAGATCAGCTGTCTCTGCTGGTTTCACTAGCCCATTCTTTGCCAATTTGCTCATCGCTCCTCTCTCTCTGTCACTGGGTTCCATGGGTTCAGTTCAGTGTTTAACTGTTGGTGTTTGCCTCTGCTTCCATCAGTCACTGGATGAAGGTTCTAGGCATATAAGGTAGATGTCAAGTTCATTATCAGGAATGGGCATTTAAGGTAGTCTCTTCACTATTGCTTAGCTTGCCCGTTGGTGACATCCTTTTAGATTGCTAGAGGTCTTGCTGGTGCTAGATCTCTCTTCAAACCTATGACTCCCTCTATTATGGTATTTCTCATCATGTTCTCCCCCTATTTTACCCCCCACTCAACCTTCCTGTTACCCCATTACCTACTCTCTACTCTTCTTTTCCCCCTCACTTCTTCCCAGCTCCCACTACTCCCCCACCTCCCACCGTGTTCCCAATCTGTTCAGGAGATCTTGCCTCATTCCTCTTCTCTGGGGTACCATGCATATCTCTCTTAGGTTCTTTCCTGTTTCCCAGTGTCAGCGGAATTGCAGACTGACACTCCCCTGATCCATTTCTAAAATCCATATATGAGTGAGTACATACTATGTTTGTCTTTTTGTGACTGGGTTATCTCACTCAGGATGGTTTCTTCTAGTGCCATCCATTTACCTGCGAATTTCAAGATTCCATTGTTTTTTTTCAACTGAGTAGTACTCCATTGTGTAAATGTACCACATTTTCTCTACCCACTCTTCAGTTGTGAGGGGCATCTAGGTTGCTTCCAGGTTCTGGCTATTACAAATAATGCTGCTATGAACATAGTGGAACAGATGTCCTTGTTGTATGAATATGCATCTTTTGGATATATGCCTAAGAGTGGAATTGCTGGGTCTTGTGGTAGATTGATTCCCATTTTCCTGAGGAATCTCCATACTGATTTCCAAAGTGGGTATATGAGTTGGCACTCCCACCAGCAGTGGATGAGTGTTCCCCTCTCTCCACATCCTCTCCAACATAAATTGTTATTGGTGTTTTTGATTTTAGCCATTCTGACAGGAGTAAGATGGTATCTCAGAGTTGTTTTGATTTGCATTTCCCTGATGGCTAAGGATGTTGAGCACTTTCTCAAGTGTCTCTCAGCTATTTTAGACTCCACTATTGAAAATTCTCTATTTAGTTCTGTACCCGACTTTTTAATTGCATCCTTTGGTGTTTTGGAGACTTCCTTCTTGAGTTCTTTGTAAATTTTGGAGATCAGCCCTCTATCAGATGTGGAGTTAGTGAATGTCTTTTCCCATTCTGTGGACTGCCTTTTTGTCTTGTTGACTGTGTCCTTTGCCTTACAGAACCTTCTTAGTTTCAGGGGGTCCCATTTGTTAATTGTCAATCTCAGTGTCTGTGCTACTGGTGTTATGTTCAGGAAGCAGTCTTCTGGATGTGAGGGTGATCTGGCTGTGACATCTGTCACCCCATTGATCACCAGGGTTGATTCGGCTGATTTGGCTGGCTACGCGGGTATCCCCTTCCTCCCTCACCGCTCCATGTGCGTCCCTCCCAAAGCGGCACACTTGGTCGAAGAGGACAACCTTCCCCGAATAGAGGAGGACTGGTTTTTGGTCAAGGCTATATGAGTAGCTGCACTCTCCTGCCAGAACCTCCAAACATGCTCTCAAGGTCCAAAAGTGATTGAAATCTTTTGAGGTGTTATTTCCTTTTGCACTTTGTCTCCTCAGTAAAAAGGAACAGTGGTCCTATGAAGAGGCATATGTTATAGGTCAAATTCCAAATGTTGACCCCTGCAGATTATGTCACAGTGTATTTCAAAATTAATATGTGCCCTCTTCTTCCTGGCAAGTTTGTATTTCTAAGAAATAATGAGCTGGGTTTTTAGAGTGAGCAAACGCCCAGTAGAGTATTTTTGGCACTTAAAAAGGTGCATCGACTGCTTCAACTCCCCAAAGTGTCATCAGTTACTTCATTTTTCCTTTGGAGCAGTCTATAGAATCTCCTCCCATAAGTTCAGAAGCACAATGGTAAAGCGAGCCTTTTTAGCCAGCCTTTGAGTGCGTGCAACTACAGATGTCCAAAACATCATGCGGCCTTAATGCCGCCCTCAAAGTGAAACCTTCCTAAAGGGTGACATCAAATTGAAAGAGTCCAGGATTTTTAAGCTCTGCAAAGATAAATGCTGAAGCCACACAGCACATGACACACTGCCATCTTTCCAAATGCACAAAGCCTGACTCCTACAGTGGGAAGGACTCCCAGCATAAATGCTTTCGAGGGCGTTCACCCTACCCTTCTCTCCCCTTCAATCAGAAACAAGTTTTTAAAAAGGTCTATCGGGTACTGTCTCCGTCGGTTTGTTCTGTTTTCTGCGATTGTCATTTATTGACCCTTAAGGAAGCGAAATGAGAAGACAAAAGTGCTTTTGGCTCTTCCCACTGGAATAAAAAGATAATGTGCCATTTCCTAAGTCTTTAGCCTACAAAGCATCATTTTCTGTGAGAAAAAAATTGATGTTGATTTCCTGGCTGTGTCTTTCCCCCTTCCTCAGTCAGCACTGCGTTTTTAACACATATTTCATATGGTGACCATGCCAAGAATATGGTACCCTTCAGACACTCTGTGTGAGTAGCCTAGAGTCTTGCTCTGTGAGGAAACACGGATAGGATTTAAGTCACTTCATGATGTCTAGAGATAGTACAACAGTTTAAGAGTCAAGTGTTTTGATACAGTCTCTTGTTCAAATCCTGGACTTCCCTTACCACTCAACATGAGAACCTGGGACCTCAAAAATTCCTGTGAAGCAAAGATAATAATGGCAACTGTCTCCTGGGACTGCTGGGAGGATAGTTAAGGCAAGGAATTATGCATATGAGTGTCTAGACCCATGCTAGGGTCCACAAAAGTACATTAGAGGCAGTAAATATTATTTCTTATAAACACAGATAAGGAGAATGGTTAGCAGGTCAAATAAGGTTGCTTATTTAACATGGTCTTTAACAATCATATTATACGCTTACATTGAAAACTGTAAATATGGACTATGCTTTCAATTTTTAAATAGGTATTTTAAGTTGTCTGGCATACAATGTTGGCCTCCCAGGAGCGAAGATATTTTCCGGTCCTTCCAGTGAACAGTTTGGCTATGCAGTGCAGCAGCTCAAAACCCCCCAGGGCAACTGGTAAGGCTATTCTTTCTTATTATTTCAATAAAATACAATTGTATAAATATAATATTTGAATGACTATACTGTTAATGGAAGGTGCTTTAATATTGCTTCTTGACAGTTTCACCATCTTACTCTGGCTGGTCCAGACTCCACAGAAATACACTTGTCTCGTCTTCAGGATGTGTTGGGAAATAAAGGCACACCCAGATGGGAGGAAAGGGTTTATTGAGCTTACACTCCCTCATTATAGTTCTCAACAAATGAAGTCAGGACAGGGATTCAAGCAGGGCTTAGAACAATCTGGCACTGAGTTTGAGGTTGTTTTGATTTGTTTCCAGTATCAGCTTTTCAGGGGCAGAATAAGTCTAAGTGAAAAAGTTTATGAATTGGGGAGGAACTCGACCATTGGCTAGTGGCAGTTGAATAAGACTAAAATGACAAAAAGATGATAGAGACCTTAATGGGCAAAATCCTGAGAAAATGAGAGATAGCCCCATCAAGATATTGTTAAAAAGGCATTGGTTTCAGTGGATTATATTGAAATTCCAGTGATGATCAGGTGACGTCAAAACCAGGGGCATCAGATAATTCTAAATCCTCCCTTAGCCTTCCCATAACATTCCTTGTATAAATAATGGCAATGGCTATTGGGAAACAAGGCCCTACTCTATAATTGGCAGGGTTAGTGCCTTGAATACCAGCATGGAACTTTCTGGTAAAGTGTAACTTTTAGTTTAGGATCATAGCCTTCCCCTTCAGTTAGTATCTAATCATCATCCTGCACAGACATACTGCCCCACACAGAGGAGAAGGGACAATTCATGTCTGTCTAAGGGGCTGAATGCTATGAAGGTACAAAGCAGAGAGCAAGCCTGTCAGAATCTTCTCACTGTCTTTGTCTTGCCAAGCAAGGAAATAGAACAGACTAAGCCATGGACAAAATTACCTAAGCCACTGTGGACTGGATACAGTCCCTATGTGGGGTGCAGGAAACACAGCATGGAACTTGCCCTCCAGATTGTGGAACAGTCTAGGAGGAAGATTTATATGCAAAATAGGAATGCATAAATAAAAGAGAAGGGCTATTTCAGTGCCAAGCCTTGTAATTGCTCCTGTTTTCATGCTTCTACCTCCATTAACTCAACAGTGAGAGCTCATTTTTCCTTTCCAAGGCCCAAAGACACTAGAGGTACAAGATTTATTCATGACCTTTGCCATTTGCCCAACCCTGTCAGTGGCCTTCCCTGGATACAATGCACCAGGGTTAGGTAGTCCTCATTCAGGACAGGCTGCCTTCACAGGGAGGAAGAAAAATAATTCAAAACCTGGGCTCTGGAATTGCCTATTTGTTTTGACAATTGGCACTGTGCCCTTTCCCACTCCCAATTTATGACAATTGCCCAGACGTTATGGAAATAGCAGATGTGGGAAAAACTGTTTAAATGTTAACTTTCCTTCTGATACTAATGCAGTTAACTTTTAACTTTTGCTAGGAATTCTTTCAAGAAATTGTGAGTGTTTGCTCTTAATTGAGTTCATCACACACACACACGCACACACACACAGGTGCACACACGCACCTGCATGCACACACGCGCCTGCGTGCACACAGGCACACGCACACGCACACGCACAGGTCCCTTTAGTTCATTGCTGTCTTGCTGTTTACTCTGCAGTATGTTTTGCCCCATTTTCCTCTACTTACTTTGACCTCTTCACAATCTCTTCTACCCTTGACTCCATCTCTTTGCCCTTTTCTTCTAATGCATGCAAGGTTCTAGTCACACTGTTATTTTCTGGGGTGCCGTTGGAGTTGTCCTGTGTGTCTGATGTTTCACTTCAAGATCTACTAGATTTTAATGGAGCAAACTTGGCTATTTTCACAGTTTTATTTATTAGATTTTTATTACACCCTAGACTTTTACTTTAATAGTATTGGTGACATCTCTATTACTTCTTGAACCTTTTCCATAGTCTTCTGTGAACTGTATAGGTTTAAAAGCAAGATGACCTCCCAAGCAGAGCTGCTGTACAGCCCTCTGGCTAAGAGTAAAACCTGGTGTGCTCTTTCTTTGGCGTAGGCAGAGGAGTGTCGGCCTGCCTCCAGCCTGAATCTCATACAGCGGATGTTCAGTGATGACGTAATCCTTATCACAAACAATCTACAAGGGCCTGAGACATGTTTAAGATCATTTCCTGGAATGAGTGGTGATATGCACTCTTTCTGTTTGTGTAATCTGAAGGCTTGCCCCAAGAACAATCTGAGTCCATTATATGACTCAAAATCATCGTAACTGAAATCACTTGTGAGACGAAGACTAAGAATGAGGGGTATTTCCAGTCATGGAAATGTATTTTCTTGTTTTGTCAAGGACTGGTGCATTCTACTTCCTTATAAAGGAGAGAAGGACTGTGAATGAATATTGCAGCAAAAAGAAAAAACACTGTATCTATATATGGGCACATGTTATTGTTTTTACTTTTTGGTTAAGAGAAGTTTTAATAAAGTTCTTTCTTTACTCTAAGTGTGATAGCCCCCAACAAATGTCTCTGTAGGAGAAATTTAAATAAAAAGTTCTATAGAAGTGAGAAATGTTCAGTTTTGTAGCAGACATCAAAGGCTATGTGTGTTAAATATCCCTTGCTCTAACTTGCTATCCCATCATCTCTTCTGAACTTGAGTTTGTGGTGCTCATGTACACACACACACACACACACACACACACACACACACACACCCATTTCCCTAAGGGGTAACATTTCATAGGTGACTTCCTTCATTTGCAAATTCACCAGCAAGAAGCAAGGGTCTATTTATAACTTTCTAAATGTCCTTTTTTGTCAATAGCCAAGAATTATAAAAGGATGGTACTCTTATTCATACACTGTGGGCTTTGGAATTTCTAATGTTAATATAGATATTACATAGAGTAGGCTCCAGTCACAAGTAAGGTATCCCCTTCAGAGTCTAGAGGGCATCTCAAATCCCAGATGTCTCGGTGTCTCACATACAGCTACTGAGCTTCTTCATCTCAATGTCCTGCTCTGCTGACAGTGTCCTTTGTCATGACGACAACCCTTCTGCTTAACTTCCCAACTCCTAGGACTTTCTTCGGTCTTGTGGTCATCCCTCTGTCCCTCTTTATTCCTTCCTCTGTTTAGGTTTTTCTTTGAAAAACAACCTAAAGAGATCCTGCTGACCCTACTCTGACCAACTATTTTAAACAAGACGAATGCTCACCACCGGAATTCTCTGACCCTATGAGAGCCTCTGCCACCTTTACCCAGGAGACCACAAGAAGGCTTGACCTTCTTCCTTGTGGCTTCAGTGCAATCTTTTTGAAGAAGCACCCGTTAGTTCCCCAAATGTGTCACATTATGAGCACTTTACTCAACCCCCCTGAAGCCCTCCTTACTTAGAGAAAAAAAACAGCAAGACCACACCTCCCAAATTTCCCCAAATAGAATAATCAACTGGGGACAAAAGTGTTCAAATGCCTGAATCCTGGAAGGCAGTGGGAGCATCTCATTCAAACCACCAAAGACACAGTGTCTTTATACAGAAGTCTATAAGTGATCTGCCCTCCTTGCCATTTGCCTCTGCCCTGGACAGTCGTGCTTATTGTACCCCCAAGCCACTCGTCCACCAAAGTCTCCTGACTTTTTCTTAAAAATCACCTTTAAGTCTTGAATACTTAAGCCTCCTTAAGGCTTGAATACTTTTTTGGGAGGTGGCAGGAGGTCTTCTCTAATCATTTGAATAAAGATTACACCACACTCCTAACTCTGTTCCATTCTTCCTCCTTCCAAAGCACTGGTCACTGCCACCATGTGGTTTACTTACAAGATTTATTATCTATCTTCTCCCTAGAATGTAACAATTGAGGCCAGAAATTTTTTATTGACTTAATCATTGATGTATCCTTAGTACCTATGGTTCATAATAGTTGTTCTGGCCAAGTTTATGTCAACTTGACACAAGCCAAGGTCATCAGAGGAGGGAGCCTCCATTGAGAAAATGTCTCTATAAGATCAGCTGTAGGCAACTCTATAGGGCATTTTCTTAATTAGTGATTTATGGGGAGGGCTCAGCCCTTGTGGTTATTGCCAACCCTGTGCTGGTGGTCCTGGGTTCTCTAAGAAAGAAGGCTGAGCAAGCCATGAGGAACAAGTCAGTAAGCAACACCCCTCCATAGCCTCTGCATCAGCTCTTGCCTCCAGGTTCCTGCCCTGTTTGAGTTTCTGTCCTGACTTTCTCCGATGATGAACAGCAAAATGAAGGTATAAAAATATACTCTTTCCTCTTCAGTTTGCTTTTGATCATGGTGTTTTAGCACAGCAATAGTCACCCTAACTCAGACAGTAGGTCTTGGCACCATACACAACTTCAAAAGTGGTCTACTGCACAGGGCCAAGACACACAGTCTACATAAGAATGGTGCCTTCTGGAGCTATATAACATGCCCATTCCATAGGCACTCATTAAACACTTCTTGATGATACCATATTGTTTTAACTGCACCTCCTTCAACAATCTCTATGAAAATCCTCACTGTTGAAGAAATGCCTGGAGAGCTTAGAGACCCACAGACCAAGGGAAGATATTTTTAGCAGCTGTTGGATTGTTGGTTTAAAATTGTCTGACCTACATCCCCATAAATATTGTTTACTAACTAAACAAAGCACTTTGAATTCCACTGGAGGTGGGCAAATTGGCTACTTTTTGGGAGTCTACATAATCACTATTTTCCCACAAGATAATTGAATAGTAAGTGTTATTTAAGATAGTCTTGGAAGGATTCCCAGTTTCACTGTAGGGAAGGAGAAGTTTATATCTTGGGCTTTTGTTTGGTTTGGAGAATCAGCACTCATGGATATTCGCACAGCTCTATTTTATTTTCTGGTTGAGAGTCAATGAAATCTATAACTACAAAGAATTCCTGTCATGTTTTAACGTGGCTTTCCCACCTGTGGATTCCATGCCTCCCTTTGTAACATTTGTCCTTTTGTACTTCTCTCTGTTACAGCTATATTCCATAAAACTTTATGGTTGATAGTACCAGCCTCATTAACTTCCTGTCTGGTTAATATAATAATGCCATTATTCCCTGGGAGTGGCCTCTGGTGACTTCATAACCTCCTCTCATGAGTATGAGCTGTAAGGAACAGGATTCTGTGAAAGCCTGTGGGTATGATGAGGTGTCTGTTGCAGGGTGGGAAATGTTACTAATAAAGCCCACGGCAGTGGTCTAGAACCGCCCCTGGAATTGCTGGCCTGGAGGTTGATACATAATGTGCAATAGTATTTACAGAATGAGTCATGTGTAATCTGGACTCCCTTGTTCCTCAGGTGCACCCCAAATGGGCAGGTTTTACGTTGTTTTCTCCTGTCTTACGTTAATAATTAATGATAGCAGATGAAGACAATAATATGTCTCACAAGGATGATCATGGCCCATGTCTGAATTGTGGCTTCCTTCAATAACTGCACAGCCCTACAGAATGCCAAGGGGCAGAGTCACACTTTCTGTAACTACTTGTCTTAAGGTACTTCATTAGTTGCTCTTCTCGTTGTAACAAAACACCCAGCAAGAATATGTTAAGGATTAATGGTTCATTTTACCTCACAGTTTGAGGGGACAGCCATCATGGTGAGGAAGGCATGAACACAGGAACATGAAGCAGGTGGTTCACATGTCATCTGTGGTTGAGACGCATAGAGTTATGAGAGGGAGAACTCAGTTAGATTTCTCCTTTCCATTGGATCAAAGCCCCCAACTGTGATGACTGCTGCTCTCAATAGGATGCATCTTCCCTTGTCAACTCCACCTTCTGTGAAATAACCTGTGTAGACACAGCTGAGGCATGGTTCCATCTGATTCCAGATGCAGTCAAATCTGACTGTGAAGATTAACCATCATGGTGCTGTTTTCTTCCTAGATAGACTCTGCAGTCTACTTTCCTCTATGTGGAACCTTGAGCAGAGAACCTCTTTGTTACATGGAGACTCATAACTGGTCATAGGACTAAGTGTAAAATAACACTAAGTGCTGAGTTTTGCATTTGTCATCTGTATCAGCTCCTCACAATCTAAGCCTCAAGAGACTATGCAGAAAGGGGAGTAGGCAAAAGAATGTAACAGTCAGTGTATGGGGAGTTAAACTGGGAAATGATGACTTGTGGATTTGCATAGACATTGAACACACCAACTCCCTGTAACTTTGTGCTATCTCCACATTATCAGTACAAGATCAACCCAGTCAACATTCCATCATGGATGAGGAAAGGGCACATTAGAACCTACTCCTAGCTGAGGAACTATGGGTAATTGATGACTGTTAGAGAAGGAAAAGTCTATTTTCTTCAAAGGTTTACTTACTGGTAGGCTGCCAAAAACTCTAGTGTAGGGTCACACACCGATGTGCTTATGGGTAGCACTAACGGGACTCATAGGAAATTTTAAGGATTTTTAAGGGAGTTGGCTTGGGAGTGGAAAGTGTTATGATCAAGACACATTGTACACATGTGTGAAATTTTCAAAGATAAATTCAAAACATAAAATGTTTTAGAAGTATAACTTTGATGCATAGTAGAATGTACAAGCTGAATCTGAAATAGCTGAACAGAACAGTCACAGTGTATTCCTTCCTTTTGACTCTCATACTTTTCAAGACCCTTAATCTATGTATCTGATGTGATTGAAACATTGAGTACAAGTATCATTTTAAAAAAATGCTAATATATATATATACATATATATATAGTGTGTGTGTGCGTGCGTGCATTGACTTCAATTTCACCTTTACTTGGACAAAAATATGTTCTTTGTCTAAAAGATAATTATATATTATTAATTATTTTCCTTTACCAAGACACTTCTTCCTATCAACAATTGAAATGTTCATTTTTTCATCATTTGTTGAACAATTCAGACACAGAATCTCTGGCCCTCATCAACCTTCATATATACTGGAGGATCTAGTCCTCAGAGTTCAAAGAGCCAGATGGCTTTCTGGATGGAGGATTATCCAACAGGAGATGTAGCTGATGGGTAGAGCCTGCTGTTCATGGAATGGCATGGCATGTATGAAGGTCTAGAAGCAGAGAAGACTCTGGTCTAGAGAACTGAATCCCATAAGACTGAACTCTTCAACCCCAGGAGAATGCAAGAATAAGACAGGGTTCTAAGGAAATCAGGGGCCTATCACCTGCTTCTTTAAGATGTGTCTGTGCACAAAAACCAGAAGAATGCTGTGAAGACATCCTGCAAATGAATACTAGAGACTACTAAAGATGAGAAGGTTGAGCTATTGTTGAAACATTTTTCACATTACAAAGGAGATTCCTAACTGCCTCGAAGTGGTCATGAAGAGCACCCAATCTGCTCATGCATGCCTGCCAAATGCCACCAGTAGTCCCCCACCATTAAAATAAATATGGTAAAACTTTACATCCATCACTCAGATCACTGACTTTGCAAGAACCTTAACCTGTGTGCCTAATGTGATTGAGATGTTTATTACAAGTAGCATTTTAATAGGTAATGCTAAATTATCTGCTTATAAGAGGACAGATTTTTTCAGTTGTGACCTTAATCAAACTTAATTGAATTAAAGTATTCAGAATGCTCTCTAAGAATAATTATATGCAATGAATAATGTAATTTTAACGTTGAAGTAGATCTTCAATCTTTCATGCCTATTTTTGCAATCTTTGATCATTTGAACATTTGTTTCACAGAAAAGATTAATTTCTGTCCTTCATCTCTCTCACATAATTGTTTTATTGGTTATTATATTAAACAGTTATGCTGGATTTAGTAGATAGGATCTTTCTTAGATTTCTATGTATCTACTATATAACATTTAGCATAAAGCACAAGTATAAATGATAATAAATTATTAGCAAAGAAGGCTCATAGAAATGGAAATATTTCATAGATAATCTTCTCAACTTAAAAAAACAACTAACAGTAAAGCAAATGTGCTTCTTTAACAACTGGATGTTATACAATATATAACATGCTATGGCCTCTGAAGATTAAGCTGATCAGGTTGGGCAATAGCACAGTTGGCAAAGTGTTTATCTCACAAATATGACCCTGAGTCTCAAAACCCATGTAAAAATGCTAGGCATTGTGACTCACTCATTATCCATGCTAAAGAGGAAGAGACAGGTGGATCCTTGGATCTTACCTGGCCAGCCACTGTGGCCTAACTGAGGAGTTCCCAGCCAAGGAAAGACCCTGTCTCATAGGAGGTGGATAGTGTTTCAGGTTATCTTCTGCCCCCACACACACACGCACACACACGCACGCACACACACGCATGCACACACACGCACGCACACACACACACAAATACTCACATACATCTGTACACACATGCATAAAAGAGAAATGATTAAAGAGTACATGGTTTCTTTCTATTCAGTACCATATGAGTGTGCACATGTACTGAGTATTTCTGTAGGGAGAAGCAGCATAGTCCCTAAAAGGGAAACGAAGTTAACCAAAGGAAGGATGTGAATACCAGACTCATCTTGTGTTCTAGATATGCACCCAATATTGCAATCAGTAAGGATATATCCAAGACACGTGCATTCAGTATTTCTGCTAAGCATCCTTGTTATATAGGTAGTAACTATAAAGCCATCTAGGTAACTCATATGCTGCCTAATAACACAATCCATGGCAGCACTTAAGACATAGAAAGAACTCCAAAAATGTTAGTTGTAGCTCTTAGGTACGAATTAATATGATGCCATTCTTCAGCACTATGCCAGCACATGCAGTGTGTCTAGCTACCTGTGCCCTTCCTGTACTTAAAATGCTGCTTGCATATTGACATGTGTTCTCAGTATAAAATATGCACTGAATTTTAGAGACTTTGTAGGGGGAAAGTACAAGCAGTTCACTGAAATAGCTTATGTTTACTACATGCAAGTTGTTATTATGTGACGTTAAAAACATTAACATTAATTTTGACTGACACTTTTATTGTATTAATGTGACTGACTAGCAGAAAACCTGAAATTATTTGTGTAACTCATCCTGTGACAAACATTATGCTTTTCTAGCTGCTGTAGAGAGACACCTCATGGTATTTTGTAAAGTAGCCTCTTCGCATTCATTAAATGTCCTGATCAGCTATGAGGATAGGAAACAAGTCAAATTATAACTGAACACATTTGAGCTATTAATTTTAAATGTGATGTTGCTGACCTGTGGTCAGTTTTCTCTTTAATAAGCTGTCCATACCACACTGTGACTCATGAGAACATCCTGTTTCTAGGCTGCTGGTTGGGTCACCATGGAGTGGCTTTCCCGAGAACAGAATGGGAGACGTGTACAAATGCCCTGTTGATGTACCCACTTCCCCGTGTGAAAAGCTGAACCTGCAAAGTGAGTGGTACTTAGCAACTCAACTCCTTACAAACAGCAATATTTCATTTGTCATCAACTCTGACAAAACGACAAAAAGATCCCACTTTTTTCTTAAAGAAATGTGGATAGCTTTATGCCTTTGTTTATTTAAACATATGGCTATCAGTTTGTATCCAAAATTTTAAATGAGTTTGAAGACCTGGTTTAACAAATCTTCCTGAGTGATGTTCTTCCTTCTGGGTCATTCGCCTTAGACCATTTACTGGTTTCTACCACTTTTGTTTTCCAGATTATGGCCGGAAATCTAAGACTATCCATATTTCTCTTTCCCCTCTTTGCAGAATAAGTCATTATGTACAAAAACAATAGTTCTGGGGCTGAGGTTGAAGACTCCAAGAAACACTATGTATTTCAGATTATGCTGGAAAACTACATTCCACTTAAAATACACAATTTAAACTTATTTGCTATTTTATTTACTACATTACAGGTGTATTATATTACAATGCAAATATTTAATGAAGATATAGACTAGAATACTAAATGAGTAATATCCCACACAGTATTTCCTGAAGGAAGTAAGAGAGTATTAAACTGTATGGTTAATCCCTCAGTAGTGCCATGAGAACACAGACATTGCTGAGCCTGAGTCCTCCCAAATGAAAGAATAAAAGGAGAAAAAAGTGTTGTTAGAAAACTCAGAGGGAATAAGGATTTCAAGTCAGATATCAAGTATTAGAAACATGGCTGGAAATTGGCTCAGTCAGTAAGGTGCTTGCCTTGCAAACACAAATACCTGAGTTCAATCCCCGAAAGTCCTGTAAAAACAGTCAGCCATGCACTACCTGGATGGCAAGGAACCAGAGGCAGGATAGCCGAGAGTCCCAAGATAGAACCAAACACGCCTGGAGAAAAAGAGCAATGAAATGATCCCTAATGATGTTCTGCAGTACTCATAGAGCAGTGCCTAGACCAGTGGTCAGCAGAGGGGTTTCATCCAGCAGCCATTGCGAGCATATGGCAGAGACCCACCGCCAAACACTTGATGGACCCAGGGGGACCCTGAAGAAGAAGGAGAGAAAGGATTGCAGTAGTCAGAGGGCTTGAGAATACCACAAGGTCTCATAGGGACTCATGAGGACTCACAGAGACTGACGTGACTAACACCAACCCTGTACAGGTCTGAGCTAGGTACTCTGCATATACCTTATGCTGTTCTTGTGGGACTCACAACAGTGGGAGTGGGAGGGTATCTCTGACTCTTTTGCCTGTGCTTGGGACTCTTTTCCTTCCACTGGATTGTCACATCCAGCCGCTATATGAGGATTTGTGCCCAGTCTTATTCTATCTTTGTTAGGCCGTGTTGGGTGGCTATCCCTGGGAGACCTGCTCTGTTTTTTTTTTTTTAAGGAAAACAGAAGGAGTTGATTTGGGGGAGAGGGAAGGTGGCAGGGAGGACTGGAAGGAGTGGAGGGAGAAGAGACTGCCGTTGGGATGTAATGTATGAGAGAAGAATAAAAGTTAAAGAAAAAATTAAAACAGTCATGTGTAAAGAAGTCAGACATTGTAAAAAAAAAAAAAAGTCAGGCACGCTGACTCAGACTTACAAAAATAGCAATGGGAAGTTGTAGGCAGGTGGGCCTAGCTCAGTGGTCAGCCAGTTCAGCTGAATTAATCCAGTAATAAACCCTGTCTAAAAAGAAAAGGTAGAGGGTGGCTGAGGAACAACACCCACACTTGTCCTCTGGCTTCCACATGCAGGCATGCACAAAGACCACACACACACACACACACACACACACACACACACACACACACACACACACACACATTAGAAAAAAAGAACAGGAGTGCTCCTGACATAGCTCTACATGACACATTTATAGCATGATTTCATCCCTGCAGTAGGTGCTATACAAGCATATTTTAGTGAGCCATGCGGTCAATGATGTCAAATGCTAGAGATTGAAGTGTGAAGTCCGAGTAACCATTTTCAGTTTATGTAAAAGGGATGTGGGTGATAGAGCTCTAAATGCTCACCGAATATGGAAGTGGTATTCAAAATCTTCACTGAAACAACTGGGTATGTAACTGAATGGTAGATCAAAGAAAAAGTGAGGGCCTGTGTTCAATCCCCAGCATTACAGGGAAAACAACAACAATAACAAAGAAAATAAATACCACCAATTTTATTCTACCACCTCAATCCATCGGGTCATCTTAGTGTTTGAACATTTAGGTGGTGGCTTTCTATCTGCGATCAGTGTCTTCCCACCACCCCTATCTTTTAATAAAACCTGGAGATTTAAACATTGGGGCTTACTTTTGGGCCAATTATATTGTTTGCATGGCCCAGGAAAAATAACCCTGTTGATTTGTAGCTGAATATTCAGCAAAACAATCATAGAAGGTTTTGAATAAAACACAGGAGTTAAGAGGAAACATGTGCACATATTTTAAGCTAACACATGAACTGGCACATTGCCTTATTAGCAATATGTTTACACAAAAATAAGAGCATATACATAGGAGTTTCATTGTTTTCTTTCTGTACCAAATAAATTCTTACTCTACCAAAACATATGTAACTAATAGGTATGTGCCCAGTGTGGCTATGAGGTTAAAAAAAAAGAATAAAGATTTTAGAAAGAACCAAGTACAGGATTGATAGCCAGCCTCCATTTCTAGAAGTTAGATGATACAGGAGAGGTGGGAAGACAGCTCTGTGGGACAACAAGACTAAGAATTCTTTCCAGAAAAAAGACAGAGAGTGTGAAGGGGTGGTATAAATGAAGTGGGGATTGGCCAAGGACAGTGCAGCATTTATGTAGCCAGAGAAGTGTCACCAGTGCCTGGAGAATGAGTCTGAGGAGAAATGCCCCTCTTCTAACACGGAAAGGAAGGAGGGAGGCCTCCACGTGACCCTCGTCAGTGCTGAGGAACCAAGGTCACAGAGAGCGTGATTCATGGCACAGTGTGTTAGCTTCTCACTGAGACTGGCAGAACAAGTGTTGGATTGGAGGAAGGCTTCTTCAAAGGGAGAGAGAAGTCTAACAGCAGTCTTCCTGGGACATGAGGGAAACAATCCCACTGAGGACTAATGACAGTAGTGGCAATGGCATGCTTGGCACCTGAGAACACGTAAACCATGTTGATGTCATAGCTTGGAGAGACAGATTCACTTCTTATTTTATCTGGCTTATCCCATTATTTCTTTTTGAAATTCTGTTTTGAGTTCAGGTCTATCAGGTGGTATTCATTAAGAGTATTTTAAACAGTCCCGATCTAAAAACAAGCAAACAAGGAAGCAGGAGGCAAGGTCACAAACAGAAATGCATGGTGCCCTCACTGTGCGTTTTGTTTGATGAAAACATTGTCCTTTTAAACACACATATTTAAATGCCCTGCCAGTGCTGCTGCCTAACTGCCTCCCATACAGGAAATAGCTGGGAGTGACCGAAGACACCATATCCCCCACTCATCATGATACAATGCTTGTTTCCAGATAGGTTATGCTATACTCAAACCTATGTAAAACATGAGTCTGCCTATTGGTTTTGTTATAGCCTTACCTGAACGATAGATATTTAATATTTTAAAACATCTCTTTCTCTCCAAAAGATTCGGCAAGCATCTCAAATGTTACGGAGATAAAAACCAACATGAGCCTTGGTTTGACTCTCACCAGGAACTCAGGAACCGGTGGCTTTCTAGTGAGTGTTGTCCTCTCAGATCTTCCTTCCTCTGGAGAGAATTTGTGGTCAGTCTCGTCCTGCCATCTTAGCAAATGCAATCTGGAGATTTAAACATTCAAGTTTGCTTTTGGATCAACTGTGCTACTTGGATAACCAAGGAAACATAACAGTGTTAATGTGGAGCCTTCTTGAGTATTCAGCAAACCATGGGATGTCTTGAATGACATGGGAAGTCTAAGGACAAGAAGCCCTGCGAGGTGTGCTGAGAAGGTGTGGATACCATTAAAATCTCAGGTCTGCTTCCTCGAGGAGCATGCACAGGCGCCTTCCATTCTGCAGCCAGGGCTCAAAGCCAAGGCATGCTTCTGTCTTTAACCAGTGCTGTAAGGTCGGGCTACTCGGCTCCTATGTAAAGTGAGGCGCTGTCTCTCATGTCATGTGTTTGCTAGCAGAGGAAAATTTCTCAAGGAAAAAAGACTTTCTGAGCTTTGACTTAATATAGGAAATTGCTAAAAATATGTGATTATACAGTGAAAAAATCAAGTTGAAAGACAAGTAAAAACTAAATCATATTTGAAATTTCCTCTGGCTCATATAAAAATGTCCTAGTTAGACAGGTCTGAAAATTTGTCTTCAAAAGACCAGGTTGTCTGTGCAATTGAGATACTCACCTAAAATCTTGCTAAAAAAACTTGATTTTAGCCAATATTGTCATTTAATTTAGAATAACAAATGTTTACATTCATAAAAACTTATTACCACTAAGTCAATTAAATATTGATTATCATATGTGTCAAATCAGTGTATAAATGACTATTTCAAGGTGTCTTTGTGCTGTGTTGTATTCTGAGATTTTAAGAATAGACTTGATTTGTTTATTCTTGCAGTTGACTAAATAGCTTGCGAATTATGGATTGTAGATGTATATTAAAACTTTTAATCCTTAATCCTAGAAAAGATAATAAATTTTAACAAACTCCAAATGAATTATTAGTGAGTGTAAGGGAGCCGGGAGGAGAAAGAGACCCAAATTTCTTTACACATTTAAAAGGTCAGCGTCTCAGGCTCCTCATAAGAATTATGTGAAGAAGACTGGCAATCATCACATATTTCTGAACCTTCTTAAGTTCTGGGCTTAAAGCAAGAATGTGTTGGCAGTAACAACTGGCATACTGTAACTTCAGCTTCTTAATTCTGTTTTCCATTGCTTATGAAAAAGAACTTCTATTCTTGCATACATCATGAATTATCTGCCAAGATGATAAAATGATGGGGGATGCACACGTGGGCATGAATTATTGTCATCTACTCTGTGTGTGCGTGCGTGCATGTGTGCGTGAGTGTGTGTGTGTACTAGCCAGAAGCAACAGTGACTTTTTCCTAATTGTCAAAATGTTCCAGTTGTTATGGGAGGGAACCCATGCTTGCCCACTGAGCATGAAATGTGAGCACAGCTGCTAGGATTCAGCCACTGACAGTTAAGCTGGGTCAAGTGAATTCCTTTTGCTTTTTCAGTTACTCCCTATAAGTCCACACTTTTCTATTCAGTTTTAATAACTTATCTGTCCATAAGTTCAATGATCTATGCATGGGTCACAGTTTTACATAGTATGAAATTCTTTAGGTAATGTTTAGCATCTTTAGACTTGACCTCTCTTACCGAATTTTTCTCTTTTCCTCTAGAAAATTTAATATTGGAGAGTCTAATGTGTACTGCGTGCTTTAATCACAACTTAATCCATAGTTCTCAGCACTCATCGAATGGCTGTTGTAAAGAACAGAATTGGTGCTGTGTTTATGGAGATAGTAGGAGTTAGTGTATGTGTGCTTTAGACAGGGAGGTAAATACTATCCAGCTAGGGACCTTGAAGCTCAAAGTAAAGAAATAGTTATTGCAAGGTTAAAAGGTAAGCAGTTCATTACACCACTTGTGCCAATTAATTTGGTAATGGATTAATTTTAAAATAAAGGGGTTTTACTCAAAATATGCTTTCATCTGAGAAAGAAAAAAAGGTTTTAAAATGCAGGGTGAGCAGGGACACAGAGGTCTACCCCTGAATGGAAGAAGTGTGGGTTTTGTTTGCCATGGTAGCCATGCATGACACAGGCACTCTTGCCTGCCCTTAGAGGCAGTTGGGGTTTTGGGTCCTATCGAGAAGTCCTACATGAACAGGGCAGGAGGAGACCCAATGCCCAAATGACCACAGTGATGTGGTAATGCACCAATGGCTCCCCATCCTTGACTTTTTTCTGAGTATTCTGTATCTATGGATCATTAAGCAGTCAATCTTTACAATCAAACAAACAAAAGGACATGATTGTCTTCATTTTATAAATGAGTCACATGAGATCCACATAATCTGAGAGACAAAAAGTCAACTTTGCATTCAGTTTTGCGGGTTTGGTTTTGGTTTGGTTTGGTTTGGTTTGAATTTTCCGGATTGTGTTTCTCTGTGTGTAGCCCTGGCTGTCCTGGAACTAGCTCTGAAGACCAGGCTGCCTCGAACTCACAGAGATCTGTCTGCCTCTGCCTCCTGAGTGCTCTGGGATTAAAGGCATGTGCCATTTTCTGGCTCCGCATTCAGTATTTTACTGAGATTTTCTAGTAGTAGTTTGGTGGGGGAATCCCAAGGTCTCTCTGTCTACTGACAACTACCCCTGATGGCCCTGTCTGTCTTCCTGAAGGCCCACCATGAGGCAGCACGTCTGTTGTTTTCTTTATCATCTTAGACTTCCCAGAGGATGGTCACTCAAAAGCATTTTAAGAAGATTTTTGAGAGTTTGTTTTAGTGAATGTTTGCAGAATGTATGTCTGTACACCAGCTGCATGCCAGGGCCTATGGAAACCAAAGGAAGGTGTCAGATGTCCTGGGACTGGAATTATAGAAGAGTGTTAGTTGCCATGTGGAGAATGGGAATTGAATCTGGGTCCTCCGGAAACAGAAGTGCTTTTAACCACTGAGCTATCTCTCCAGTCCTTCCAATTGCTTTTTGGACTTACTAGATTTGAAAACAGAAAGTGCTGGAGAGATGACTCAGTGATTAAGATCACTGGCTGCCTTTCTAGACCTGGTTTCAACTCCCAGAACCCACCATCCTCTTCTGGCCTGCAAGGGCACTGGGCATAAAAGTAGCACAAAAACATACATGCAGATAAAATATATACATATACATACACACATATATACACACATATGTGTAAATATATATGCATATATGTATATTGTGGACATGCACATATATAATGTGTGTATATATGTATGTATATTCACATGTGTGTGTGTACATTTATGTGTTTGTGAACCCTAGTATCTTGGGAAAGAATGGATATGGTGTCTTAATTCCATAGAATGAGAGGTGAAAGCTACATTTCCTGTGTATGTACAGTATTTTCTCCTTTCTTTGAAGACCTGTGGTCCTCTGTGGGCACATCAGTGTGGAAATCAGTATTATGCAACTGGAATTTGTTCAGACATCAGTCCAGACTTTCAGTCCCAGGCCAGCTTCTCACCTGCAGTTCAGGGTAAGATCTGAGTGATGCCTTACAATTAAAGGGAGGAGGGGGGGTCAAGTGCAACTCAACCTCTCTGTAATTTCAAAGTTTATGTAGTTGTGAAGTTTGACTTATCTTTGGAAAATGTGTTCTTTTTTCATCTCTTCCTGTCTAGCTTGCTCTTCCCTTGTAGATGTTGTAGTTGTATGTGATGAATCAAACAGTATTTATCCCTGGAATGCAGTGAAGAATTTTTTGGAAAAATTTGTTCAAAGCCTGGATATCGGACCCAAAAAGACTCAGGTAAGGGCACCAAAAATCATAAATGAGCCCATGGCTTCAGGGAAAATGATTTAGATGTGAAGTCTTAAATTTTTCATTTGTAAATATTCATTGTAATGAATTTAATGATGACCTGGGAAATTAATTGAAACATTTACTTCTAAGGTCAGTATTCGGCCAATGGCTTTATTTAATGTTGTTGATTTTAGTTTTATTTTTGACAGAGTCATCAAAAGAATAGTGTATAGCATTTATGTCTCTTTTAAAAGCTGCTTATTTTAATTCTTTAACCCGTGAGTTTACTTATAATACACTTAGGGGAATAGAGTGATGGCTTAGTGATTAAGAACACTTGCTGTTTTTGCAGAGAACAGAGGTTCAGTTCCCAGCCTACAACTCCAATTCCAGCAGATCCAAAGTCCTCTGTTATCTATAGGCACTTGTACACACATGGTACACATATGTTCCCATAGGCACACGCATATACACATAAATATAAAATAGTGAATAACATGTTTTAAAATTGGATGTATATTTTTCCCTATAACCATTTTGATCAATTGTGAATTCCTCTTGTTTATACCTTGTTTATAAAGAGTTATCTGAATTCTGTGAAATTTAAAAATAGCATAATTCTGATATTAGTTTATAGCTTTTTGTTTATAAACTAGTAAATCTGACTTTTACATAAGAGAAAGAGTTTTCAATAATTTGAAATCATTTTCCATGTTTTCAGAAATCTCAATTGGATGTTATTTATCTTCTTTTTGTTTTGTTTTTTATATTTTATTTATTTATTTATTTTACATCTAGACTACAGTTTCCTCTCCCTCCTCTCCTCCTAGTCCCTCTGTGCCCCCGTCTATTCCCACCCACTCCCAACCACTCCTCCTCCCTTTCTGTTTAGGAAAGGGCAGGTCTCCCATGAGTATCAACAAAACATGGAATATCAAGTTGCAATAACACTAAGCACCTCCCCATGTATTAAGGTTGGGCAAAGTGACCCAGTATGAAGAGTAAGGTCCCAAAGCTAGTAAAAGAGTCAGAGACAGCTCTTGTTCTCACTGTTATGAGTCCCATAAGAAGAGCAAACTATACAACTGTAACATATATGCAAAGGTCTGTGCCATGCAATTTTCTTGATTAAGGCACCCAAACTGCAGGCATGAAAGTTTCATGATTCCCCAAGACTAAGTGCATGCATTAAAAAAAAGCATGATAGCTATATTCCACACTACTCAGGAAATAAAGGCAAGAACAATTCTGGAAACGAAGATTCTGAGTCTGACCTGGACAATATAGCAAGACCCTATGGTGAGGGAGAGAGTAGGGTAAGGAGAGAGAGAGGAGGGAGGAAAATTCCTGCACATTTCGAGATTCCTTTTTTCACCATGCTCCTCATTTCTTTTTCCAATTCCTGACTGGTCCTTCTGGCTGGAGCAGCAGTATCCCCAGGGTGCAGTTCTCTGCTTTGCCAGTGCACATTCTAGCTGACATCTGATAAGACAGCACCTCATATCTAGCAACAATTACTGGGATAGCTTTCCCTAGTCTTTGCAGTAATCTTTACTGAAAATTCACTTTTTTAGTTTCCTATAAAATATTATAAATGTTTTAGGTAGTGGTGGTCCATGCCTTTAATTACAGCACTTGGGAGGCAGAGGCAGAAGCAAGTGGATCTCTGTGAGTTTGACATCAGTCTGGTCTACAAAGCAATTTCCAGGATGGCCAGGGATAGTGGTACATAGATTAAACCTGTCTCAAAAAACTGTATGTATGTATGTATGTATATATATATATATATATATATTATATATATTGATGTTGATTTTCTATTTCCATACCAGGGGAGTGGGTAAAATGCCTTTAGAGGTCATGGAAATTCCACTATGGATTTTTAATAGAAAATTCTATTAATGAAGACTACATATCACATTGGTTTCTGGAGAACAAGATTTTTAAATCTCCTTAAGAAGAAGTTTTCCCCACTTGTCTGTTTCTTTCATGTCTCAGTTACCATACCTGTCCCAGATGATTTAAATTCTCCAGACTTCATGACACAATGTGTCTTCCTAGCATAATCCACTGTTTCCTCTATAGAGGAAGCCGAGTTCAGTCTCGCTTCATATGGCCCATATTTAATATACACCTCATCTTTAAACCGTATTCTGCACTCATGTCTATGGCTATGTCATCGAAGTCGTATGTGACTGACATCCTAAGTTAGTTTTGAATCAGTTGCACATCTTATCTTAAAGGAAGATGTCCAGGATGATCACTGTGTTCCTCATGACTTCCCAGTGACTGTCATGCCACCTCCCAAGCAAAATGACAAATTGGACACAGCAATCAAGGGCCATCCTACCTCTTCCCTTATAGCCTTACATCAGAGAGACTTGTGTCTTTCAGAGAGCCCGTACCATATATCCCTATTTCCTGCTTAGACAATTCCATCTCCTGGGCTGGGATAATTCTTTTAATGCTCAGAAATAGGCATAGTGATATAAAGATGTGAGTTTCTTGATGTAAAGGACTGGAAACTCTCCCCCAGAAACCTTGTTCAGAAGTTTATCTTTCTGTTTGCTTTTTCAAATAAGGTTCTTTCTATTGTTTGTCCTCTGAAGGATAGAGGTTCCCTGCCCACATGCATATCTAACACCCTTACTCCAACAATATTCAGTCTCACAATATGGGAAATCTAATAGTCAATTAAACTGAGCACACAGCTAAGGAATACATGTGCTTTTCTTTAATTCAACACCGCCTCTGTTACAAAACTGCTCACAACTAATGATATGTTACCCTCCATCTATGATTGCTTACAGATGATTTCAAGCTAGTATCCACTGACAATTAGAAAGTTTATATATTTGTATCTATTTCAATATTTGTGTCAGAAAGCTGAACCCAATATTCTTTTGCATTAAATATACTAATGAAGTGCTTTAAGTATCTATGGCTATTTCTGTAACAGGTCATCTTGCTTGGCAGTCATGCTCCTATTACTTACTGAAGACCTCTAACAAAGACACTTCCAAAGGAAGAAGAAGAATTTTCACGCACAGAATTGAAATTGGTTCCTTTAAGCTATCAGACTACACATCTAAATTCACCTTTCTTGTCATATTGGCTAAATATAAGTTGTTTATAAGCTAATGAAAATGAATAAACTTCTCTTTTTAAGGTGGCTTTAATTCAATATGCCAATAGGCCAAGGGTTATATTTGACTTCAACACTTACAAAACCAAAGAGAAAATGGTTGAAGCCACATCCCTGACCTCCCAAAATGGTGGTGACCTCACAAATACCTTCAAAGCAATTGAATTTGCAAGGTAAGTTTTGATGCTATTAGGTCAACACTTTGACAATATAAAAGTAAAAAACTGGGGGGATAGAAAAGCCAAAAGAAAAGTAACAAGGGCAAAGACAAACCTGAACTTTCTGTGACATGTGTACCTTGACATGTCACAGAGGAAATGAAGCTACACACCATGGTCTGGGACAGTCAGACACATGATTTTTTCATGAATTACATAAAATACAAAGGTCTTAGATTAAAGTAGTATGAAATAAAACAACCTATAACTGTTTGCTAATATTAACTTCAAACAAATTAAGCTAGTATTTTGTATACATTAATGAAGTTCATGGTGTATTAGACACAAAAAATCTGAATGTTGAGAGTATTATTCCTGCTGCAACATACAGGGATTATGAAATTTACAACTGCATGGCATCCGTCTCTTCCTTACCTCAGTTTCTTTTTCTATTCTGTCAGTTTTACTAGACACTTTATTAAATGCCCGCCTGTCATTTTTTAAAATGAGAATAACATGTTTGCCCTTAAGCCTGCTTCCAGTCTTTTCCATCTCCTATTTTTATTCTTTCAAAAGCCATTAAAACAAGTTGTCTGAGTTGTCTCGCCCCTTCCTTGAAGCCTGCATCTCTGCCGCTGGGTGAACATGGTCCCTGCATTAGCTTCCCTAGTGTTCTTGCTTCAAGCCCACCACCCTTAGCTCCTCTCAGCATTTGATAAGGACAGACATACACAGATGTTCTGAATTCAGTCTTCATTGAACACCATAAACTCTCAGATCCCCACCAACTCCGGCCTATTCATTGGCTCCTTCTCCTGGGTTTTCTTCACTGCACGAAGATCTCTTGCCTCCACAGTCCTCTCTACTAGGAATAATGTCCCTACTCTTGGTGTGAGGACCAACCCTATGTTACCTCTTTAAGTCTCTTCCCAAAGCCATTGGGCATCTCACTGAAGTTGAGCATCTTTATTGGGAGTTCCCTGTCAGAAATTTCACTATGTCCTAAAGCAGCCTCTTTCCTTTCCCTCACTGCTCACGATACTCAGTGTTACCTCTCCTCTTCCCACTTCCGCTTAGACACATACCATCGCATTTGGCATGTCTATCTCTTTGTGCCCTCGTTTTCTCTGTGTGTATCCTGAAGTTGCTGCTTTCATCAACTAGTGAGATTTTCTTCATATGTCTCAAAAGACACTGTCCATAAGTAAAATAAGATTGGCGTTGTCATTCCTGTCTCTAGCTCTTTGAGGGCTTGACCATCTCGAAAACTGCAGGCCATAAAAATGAGTTACCTATCTTTAAGTGGGGCACCCTTTCCAGTCCAGTAACTCAGACTAAAGAAAAGAATGTTGCAAGATCACCTTACACGACTTCTATCTTCAGCAGAGAATGTAGCTAGGACCTATCCCCAGGGAAGGAACCTGGGGACCTGGCAAGCTTTCCTCTCCGAACTAGGGCATGATCACTGTTTGTTAAGGTGTGGCTTGTCTGGGTTTTATTACACTTTTAAAGCCCTGGATTTTCCCCCTACCGCAACAATTTCCCAATGAACAAAAATCAGGACCCACATAAATTCTAACTAACACCCCCTAAAACACACAGGTACACAGACATACACGGTGAGGGGGGTAGTTCTGATATTCTTTCTGTAAGTATCCCCCATTTCCACCCACAATTTCACTGAACACCTACCATTACAAGACACCACCCTAAGCAATGCAGGAAATCAAAATTAAAAGAGGCAGCCCCATTCTCAAATCACTCTTGATGTACACTGTACCCACAAAGGGTAAACCTCAGTTTTTACAAAAGGATATGACATGGCTCCATGATGAAAAATTGTCTAACTGAAAAATATTTCTATTTGCTATGTTCCCTAATACAGTCCACATAAAATATCCTATGTAACAAAATGATCTATCAGCTTCATAAACATTGGCTGTAGAGTATTGGTAAATAGGTAGAATGGTTAGTCATCACTGAAGACATAAACATGAAAATAGAAGAGATGGATAGGAAACAGATCTCATTATATAGCTAGCTGATAGTTTATCCTATCAAGTGTGACACTACCTAGCAAGAATGTACAGGAGAGTCTAATAGAGAGAAATAACTTGTTAACTGGCTGGCTATCTAGAAGAAAATGAACTTTAATAATGTACCTTGCTTCTTGCATCAAATAGATGTTTAGCTGAACTAAATTTTCAGTCTGGCTGGGCATGTTAGTGTATGACTATGATCCCAGCCTGTGCTATATGGCAGACCCTTACTCAAGAAAAAAATACAAAATATAAAAAAAGAAAGCAGTAAAGGATTAAGCATGTGCATGAGATTTTAAAGATAATTTTAGAGTTTATAAAAAGAGATTATGCATTTTTGTAAGTACTATATCAAATATGAAGGGAATAGAGGAAAACGGATGAATAAATTTGATTCTGTGAATATAAAAATAGGGTCTAGGTGGGGCTGGAATGTTGTCCAGGGGATAAAGTGCTTTCTCCACAAGCATGAGGACCTGACTTTGGATTCCCAGAACTCATGGAAAAGACAGATGCTGTGGTATGTGTCTGTATCTCCAGAACTGTAGAGGAGAGAGGCAGATGAAACTCCAGAGCTTGCTGGCCATCATGACTGATATGCTTAAAGATGATAATTGCCTGTTTCCCTTTCAAAATAGAGGTTTACATCGTAGCTTTTGTTAATGGTGGTCAATTTTTAATCTGTCACAGAAACCATGCTTATTTACCATCTTCTGGTGGGCGCCCAGGTGCTACGAAAGTCATGGTAGTTGTGACTGATGGTGAATCCCATGATGGATCGATGCTGAAAGAGGTGATCCAGAAATGCAATGACAATGAGATACTGAGGTTCGGCATAGCAGTAAGTGGCTTTTGTTTGGACATATCTGGTGGCTGATGGCTACGAAGTCCTATGTGCCATCACTTTCCAGGTCTGCACTTTGTACAGTCTCTCTGCCTCCTGCTGATTTTTCAGTCCTGTCAACTAAATAAATGGCTGTGGAAATGTTTTCAAGAAGCTCTATGGTGATCAGAAGTGTACTGCAATGAATAGATGGAGACATTGAAGTAGAAGAATGACCTTTGTCATGCTCTCTCTTTCTTCAAGGTTCTTGGGTATTTAAACAGAAATGCCCTTGATACTAAAAATTTAATCAAAGAAATCAAAGCAATTGCTAGTACTCCAACAGAGAGATTCTTTTTCAATGTGGCCGATGAAGCAGCTCTTCTGGAAAAGGCTGGAACACTAGGAGAGCACATTTTCAGCATCGAAGGTAAAAAAGCCTTTCTCAAATTTTTCCTTCAAATAGATTTTGTTGGAGAATTTATTATTTTATATAATGTATTTTCTATGTGGATATTAACTTATAGACTATACATAAAAAATGGAATAGGTCAAGCAAGAAAGATATACAAAATACATGAATACATAATTTCTAAGAAAAATGTAAGAGATCAGTGAGCAGAAGAAAAATGTGAATCCATTAAGATGAGAATTATTTTCCAAATTTTTGAGAGAACAACCTAGCAACATCTATTATAATCATAGTGGTTTTAGTTATGAAATTTCAGAAATTCTTGTATTTATTTATAGCAAGTATATATACCTTGAAATAGTGAAAACGCAACGATAATCTCCAGAAGTTCAGTTGGGGGAAAGACTTGCCTTATTGAAACCCTACTGGTGCACTTCCATAGCATTGCAATACCCTCAGGGCAGACTGGTCATCCATGCAGACAGTCAGGAGAACTGGGACACTCTGTACAGTTGGTAAACATAAGTACCGCATGGCCCAAATTCTGGTTCCTGGAGCTTAAACCAAATAACTCAGCAATAAAGCTGGTGGGTAATTGTGTGCCTACATCTCAGGTCCCACTTAGAAGCTGGCTTCAAAGGTATTGTATAGGCATCTTCTGAGGATGCACTAGAAATTTCTAGCCCACCCCAAATTTTATTGCAGAAGTGTAGTATTTCTAAGTCATTTAAATCATCATCAAAAAACAAAAACCTCATGCAATAATTCAAGACTACTAAGTCATCTCAAATTTGCTTGAGGTCCATGAATAAAAGTAATTGCAGTGTGATTTAAGGCTAACTTGAAATGATTTTGAACATTTTCTGTTGTTGATGACTTTTGAGGAATATAAACCTATTTCTCCCCCAAACTGTTCCTATGCAATCAATGGTAATTATTATACCTCCTAAGCAAGAGGACCCCTCACAGTTGTACGTACAGTTTATTCTATTAAAGTGCCCATGGAGAAATTTGACTTGTTTCTCATGAACATTATCGAAATACAACCATCTGGTCACACTTAAAAGAACATGCCTACCAATAGAGTTCTGTGATGTTAGACATCGAGAGATACTTAAGTGCAATTAAAACAAACTTCCCAGCTAGTAAACTCTTTAGTCTTGAGTCCTGGTTTCCCATGACTGACACAGGACTCCCTCAGTCCAGTCTGTGGTATGAAGCCATCACCCATTTTTCCAATGTATCTGAAGTATTTGTACATTAGGAGTACCAGTATTTAAAAGCAAAAGTTACATAGCTTCTTAGCTAGTAATGTGAAATTTACAAGAATATCCTGATCTCAGTTTCTACCTTAACTGATGTAGAAGTCCTGTATATATGTCAATAAAGCACTGTTGGCCAATAGGGAAGCAAGACAGGTGGGACTAGGAGTCGAAGAGGACTCTGGGTAGGAGAAACACAGGGAGTCATCATGTAGCTGCCTTAGGGGTAAGAAGTCCATACCCTTTTCTCCGGTAAGAGAAATACTTAGATTAACAATTATGGAGTAAATACTTAAGTCAGAGCTAGCCATAAGAAACAAGCAAGGCCAACAGCTTCATAATTAATACAGTGTCTTGTGTATTATTTGGGGACTGCAATTGTGGCAGGGTTCAGGTGGATAGTGGGGCAGGTTGCTCCCAACACTTAACTAATAGTCTTTCTTTGCTGAGACTAATGGATATCAGGAACAGCATAAATGCTACATTAAATTAATTAATACTTAATGGGTATCAAAGCTAACCTTGAACAATTATTAGGACACTGTCTTACTGATTTCCTCATGCTACAATCCTCCAGGCTGTAGCTGTGCATTGACAGAAGTGTGTGTGTGTGTGTGTGTGTGTGTGTGTGTGTGTGTGTGTGTGTGTGTGCATGAATGCACATGCTTGTAGGTGTTTGTTCATGTTTGAAATTTTGATTTAAGATTGCTCATAATCATATAATTTTTGAAAATGATATTTTATAGGTACTGTTCAAGGAGGAGACAATTTCCAGATGGAAATGGCACAAGTAGGATTCAGCGCAGATTACTCTCCTCAAAATGTGTGTTTATCAGATAAGTTTAAGCCAATACTGGCACTTGCCAGAACACACAATAGTTTAAACATAGTAGGAAAAAAGCCATCTCCTGAGCAATGATTCAGATTCCTGGGCCCAGTCACTAAGCTTAAAAAAACAGTTGCTAAATTCTTCATTCACTGTGTCAGAGGAAAATATAAAGATATAATAAAGGCTTTGAGTTCCCTATGACAAAGACACTATGCTAATTCCAGGCATCGTCCTCGTAAGAATTTCATGGGACTCAATTAACTACCTAAAACATTTGTCAAACAAAAGAGCCCAGCCACTTTTATCACTGATACAGTTGCTGTCTACATTGCCATAGTATCATTTTCTAAAAGCAGAGACAGAAAATTGTTGAAAATGGGTGATTTATGAAGTCTGAGGTTGCTGGAATCCACTGTCTTGGTAGCTCAGGGAGTCCATCCAGTGTTCTCAGAAACAGGTCTGGACCAGAATTCTGACCAGGACACTGGAGGGGAATGGGAGACAAAATGACACAAGATTCTGGGAAATATTTAGGAATTAATTTGAAGTCAGAGGGTGATAAGCAGATCCAAGGACCAAGAACATCTCATCCTATACCTGGAATAAAAGATACTCATGTCACTGATTTGACAACCCTTAGAGATGTTGATAAAAGTTAGAGATCTTTCCCATAGAAAAATGTAAATAAATATAATATTACAGAATTTCTTTTCACACAGTTCCATGAGGTTACTGTCTATTCCCTGGAGCTCATTCATATAGCCCCAGCTTAGAGTTTGTACTTACATAATGCTTATTCTAAAAATTTGACATTTTTTCCTCAGAATGGGATATGTTTTCCCCTATTTGTTATTTTTAACCCCACATCATTATATCCTTGTTTCCTTGTATAAAAGCCTGTAAACTCAGCACTGTGGGGAGTGCAGAGACAGGAGGATCACTGAGGTTTGTTGGCTGCCATCTTTGTTTTAGATTCAGTGAGAAACTCTTTGTCAAGGAAATGAAGCAGAGAGGGATAGAGCAATGTACCTGATGTCGTTCTCTGACCTTTTCATGTACAAGCATGCACATCTAAACATACAAAACATGCCACAAGCATGCAAAGATGAGAGTTGAAATTGCAACAGGTCAGAAGGTCTCCCAAGACATGCTGGGGAAGAGCAGCACGCCCTCCCTCCTCTGAGGAGAACACTGTGCATTGCTTTAGTATATCTCGTATTCATCATGAGCCTTTCCTATAAATACATGGGATGAGTTCTCATGTGATTCTCCCGTAAGTTCTGAAAGGTTCAGCATTTGCAAAGGTGTGCCTCTGAGTTGAAAATGGATGTACATTCATCCTGTACCATGACCTATCACAAAGATTTCTACATAATGCATGGTAGTAACTTCTTCAAAGAAAGCTTAACTCGACCCTCCAAAATCTGTGACCCTTTCATATAGTTCTTCATGTTGTGGTGACCCCCAACCATGAAATTATTTTCATTGCTACTTCATGACTGTGATTTTGCTACTGTTATGAATTGTGTGCAAATACCTTTTAAGAAGGGTGATCTTAGGTGTCACCTGTAAAAGGGTCATTTAACCATTAAAGGGGTTGAAACCAACAGGTTGAGAATCGCTGCCATAGCTTATGGTATGCTTGTTCTCCAGTAAAATCAAAACAATTCTAAGATACATATGTAGTTACTATGCAAATTTCCTTCAATTTTGATAGTCTATTTCAATGTTTTGGTTACCCTGAATTATCTTGCATTGAAGGTGATTTGCCTTAATCTTCATTTTTTTTTCAATTATTTCAGGATATTCTGATGCTAGGTGCAGTGGGAGCTTTTGATTGGAGTGGAACTGTTGTCCAGGAGACATCTCACGAGCACTTGATCTTTCCTAAACAAGCCTTTGACCATGTTCTACAGGACAGAAATCACAGTTCATTTTTAGGTGAGGCACAACAGCTGTTGGCTCAGACAATCCTGGTTCCTTTTCCTTAAACTCTCAAGTCAGCTCAGCAGAACCTCCGAACTATCTCTACTTCCATGTTTGTAATCCATAGATGTTACCTCTTTGCTAGTCAAGCCGCAGCCCATAAGTAAGGAAAGCGAGGTTTTATACACAAATCTCTATAGAGATCTGTTGCACTCATATGATCAATGATTGCATTTAACTCCACTGTTTCTAAAACACACAAATCTGTTTTGGCAAATATCCCTGGAACATGGTTGTTCTCCAAAACAGAAGTTGTTCCTAAAAGGCAATACACAAACTAGTGTCCTTCTATTGTTTTAGAGTTCTTAGTGGGTTTTGTGTGTTTGTTATTGTTGTTATTCATATGATAAGTATCCAGTGATGCTTAGGGGCATTGTATTCTAACTACACAAATCCTTCCAAAATCCTTTGAGATCCTGTGACTTTAATAACTTTAATCAATCCCATAAACCTAACAAATGACAAATTCAAAATTCGAACCTAGAACTCCGTAATTCCAGGACACGTGTTCTTTCCATGAAGCAGCATTACCATTTAAATTCATTTATTCATTCATTAAACACTTGTTAAAGGCCAGTGTCTTTGTTTTGTTTCCTGTTGCTATGAAAAGATACATTGACAAAGGCAACTTAAAGAAGAAAGAATTTATTTGGCCCACAATTCCAGGTTATAATCCATCCATGATGGGAAGTCAAGGCAACAGGAACTTAAAGCAGCTAGTCCCACTATATACACAATCATGAACAGAGAGAAATGAGCTAATGGGTGTGTTCTTGCTCTTAGCTTGCTTCCTCAACTCTTACCATATTCAGGACCCCTTGCCTAAGGAATGGTGTCACCCACAGTGGGCAGCTATTCCCACTTCAATTCCTCACTTAGTGTAATCAACCTAATTCCTCATAGATGCGCTTAGTGGAGTCACTGAATCTAGACAACCCTCACTGAAATGCTCTTCTCAGGTAACAATAGATTGTGTCAAGTTGACAATTAAAATTAGCAATTAGCCAGACTTGTAGGTAGCTGATGAAAACAACCCAGGATCAAGGGACAGCTTTACACATTGAGTTCCTGTCTATGGTAGTCAGAGATAAAAAGGAAGGTCAGGACAATTCATCTCAGGAGCATGAGTAATCATCACATCCAACATCAAGAATTCTGAGCTTCTCTGCAGCCCACTCTGGCACAGACAATTAGTGGTGCTCAACTTAGAATGTCTTTTATCCTAGGTTACTCTGTGGCTGCAATTTCTACTGAAAAGGGTGTCTACTTTGTTGCTGGTGCTCCGCGGGCAAATTATACTGGCCAGATAGTGCTGTACAGCGTTAACAGGGATGGCAATGTCACAGTGATTCAGTCTCACAGAGGGGACCAGGTGAATATCTTCACTGAGCAAATGAAGTTAATTTTATGGATAAGTGGGGCAGGTGGACCGTTAAGTGGGTAAAGTGGAAACTGGTGTTTACTGAGCGGTTCCTCTGTGTTTGAGAATGTCATCTGAATTTAACCATGTCTGTGTCAAATCCTAACAACAGAAAGTTCACTGGGATTAAGTCTGATCCTGCTACTGCCATTGATTTTGTGGGAGTAAGGGAACCACAAACTAGTCACCATGTAGCTACTTGACCATGCTTTTGCCTCCTCTTTAGTAGCTTGAATAATGGTGTTTCCATTTTGAGAAAAAAGCAATGGGAGAAGAAATCACTTATTAATTTTTAAATCCTTAATAAATGTTCACACAGGCACTCACTGAATATTGCTGGATGGCATGGCACTCAGATCCCAAGCCCTTCTAATTTTACTTCATCTCTACCTAGTTCTCTTGTCTTTTCTACCTGGCAACATCACATGTGCTGGACCATGCCAGTGGCATTACATCATTCATGTTTCCCTCCACATAGAAAACTCATTTTGTCCTTAAGATATTATTCAAATGAAACGTCCCTCCCTGGCCCCTCCACCCCTCCCTACATGCTAAGGTGCCTTCATTATAACAGTTTTTGTTTTGTTTTGTTTCTCATGGGAACATAGCTATTTGCTGTCCTTGGCTAACCCTATTCCTCCCATTTTTCTCTAAATCACAGCTCACATGGCTATTGAGGGTTCCTCTTTAGAATGCGGCCTCTGGTTCGCTGGCATCAGTAATACCTAGAGTTGCATTGCTAGAATACATATGTAATTATATGACTCCTAAGATTAATATGCTTTGCTACTCCAGATTGGCTCCTATTTTGGTAGTGTGCTGTGTTCAGTTGATGTGGACAGAGACTCCATCACAGACGTGCTCTTGGTAGGTGCTCCCATGTACATGAATGACCTCAAGAAAGAAGAGGGAAAAGTCTACCTGTTTACAATCACAAAGGTAAAAGCAACATTAAGTAGACAACTTAAATGACTCTAGTACTGATGAATAAGTTAATCTGAAATTTAAAGAACACTTATTCTGGAATAATTGCTCATTTTCATGAAAAGTATGGCATGTATTTAATCAAACTCAAACCACAGTTACAATTTTTTAGAATACATTAAAAGGCATGGAGTTTATTATATAGTATATCCCCTTTTTCCATAAGAGGTCTTTGGATATGTGTTCCTATGCAAATAAAGCCATTATAAGCATAAATAATTTTGGCATACATGTAAATATAAATATTGGTTCATTTTTAAAGCATCTTGTGACATTTCTTTGAAATGACAATAATCTCTGGGTGTACTGACCTCTTCAATTCACAGTGAAAACAATCATCCCAGCAACTCCAGCAACCTCCAGATGACCTAGAGTGCTTTCTACATTAGTTCGTCAGAAAATTCCAGTGTTTAGTGTCACATTTAGGTACACGTCCAACTCTTGGAATTTCAGATCCTTGCCATAAAACTTCACTGACTCAAAGAGAGGAGGCATCGTTTTTCCAACTTGTAGACAGAACTCTAAATCTATTTCAGTAGGAATCTGGAGCTCAGCAAGGACAGGAAGAAAAGCAAACGAAAGACAGTGGTTGACATAGGAAACCAGATGGGTGTGGGAGGCAGGGAGAGTTGTGCTTTATTGTTGGGGTATTTTCTATATTTTCCATATTTGATACCTACTATATATTAATGCAAAAACTCACTCTTTAACATAAGCAGTTAAAGCAATGGGGTGTTAGAAAATGAACCCAGGTTCAAGAGCAAAAAGTGCTCTTAACCACTGAGCTACCCCTCCAGACTCTGTAACGCTATCTCTTAATGCTTCATCTAACTCGGAAAAAAATTAATCTTTATGAAATTACTATAAAGTAGAAAGAATCAACACTGACCCAGTTTCCCCGTTGAGGCACTTTGCTTCCTTGCAAAGCCATTAAATATTTCCCTACTGAAGCACAAAATCTGAAGAGAAAAATGTTTTATAAGGGAGTGTCTTTTCCTCTGCAAAGAATCATTTAGCGTTGCTTGTTGTGGGATGACAGCAGCTTCATTTTCCACTCCCTACCCCATTATAATTATGTCACCACTTAGCAACAAGTGAGACCTAAATTACTGGGTTTTCCTGTGCTTTCCACCTCTCTTAATTTCATTCATGATATTAGACTTTTCACCAGGAAATTTCTAATTTGGAAAGAGGTGACAGTTCCAGTACTGACAGAAATGGGAGATAAAGGGTCAGACATTTCATGTAGGGTTTTCAGGTACAGAGAAGAGAATTTTTACCTTCTTTAATCTTGGCTTAGGAGCAGGTACCTTGTGACCCAAACTAATGAAAATTTATTTGTTAACTATCATCGAACAATAGGGAATCATCAATTCTAAGATTAAAACCCTACCCATTTTCTCGTTTTGATATCTTGTACGTATCTGCTTTGAATTTTCATGATACACATTGAGAGTTTTGCTGTAACAGTTCCTTCTCCCTTTGCAAGGGCGTCTTGAATCAGCACCAGTTCCTTGAAGGACCTGAAGGCACAGGAAATGCTCGGTTTGGTTCAGCGATTGCAGCCCTTTCAGACATCAACATGGATGGCTTTAATGATGTGATTGTTGGTTCACCTGTAGAGAATGAGAATTCTGGAGCAGTGTACATTTACAATGGTCACCAGGGTTCCATTCTCACAAAGTACTCCCAGGTAACCATGAATGATATATTGGGTATATAAATGCTAGAGCTAGACAGCATCATATAATACATGCCTCTTACCTTAAATCCGTGTTCTTTCCATCAAAAAATTAGTTAATAAAGCTTTACTATATCCTGAACACTGTTCTAGCTCTGAGAATGTTGTACAGAACAAGACAGACAAAATTCTGCTTTTTTCTGACCTTATACTCCAATATAGGAAATACAAATAAAAGAAATAAGTTACAGTATTACAGATAATAACAAATGGCAAGGATCAAACATAAGGACTCAGTTAAGAGGTAAACTTTCAAGTATTTTGTATTGTTGGCACATTGTGAGGGTATCACATGACCAAAGTATGGTGAAGAATGCCTCACTAACAGGCAATTTTGTGTAAGTCTTAAGAAAAGCTAAATAGGATAGGAATCAAGACCTGAACTTGGCTCTTTCTGAGCCCACTGAATTCTCACCATTTTGAACTGGCTTGTGATTATGCATTAAAGATCCATGATGTTTCCTTAATGAAAGAGTCATTGTAAAAGTAATACAGAAATCAGATAAAATGTGAAGGAAGAAAGCAATAGAATTTCCTGGACCAGACAGACTGAAAAATGACCGTGTAGTGAATGTAAGGGGCATGCAAAGGCTACCATTCTATGAGTCAGCTGTGTGTCCCACATCTTCGTGTTACATCTGTTCTTTCAGAAAATCCTTGGATCCGATGGAGCCTTCAGGAGTCATCTCCAGTTTTTTGGAAGGTCCCTGGATGGCTATGGAGATTTAAATGGGGATTCCATCACTGATGTATCCATTGGTGCTTTGGGGCAAGTGGTTCAACTCTGGTAAGTCAGTAAGTGCAAGATTCAGACTAGCTAGTTAAAATGACCTGCGGTGTTGCCTAATACGTGTAACGCCAAATGTATTGTATAAGATTATAGGAAATGTATTTATCATAGTTTGCATAAAGGAAGGAATATATATGGTTTTCCTGATGGGTGAATATATATTATGTGTATACATATTTGCGCATACGTGTGTGGTGTGTGTGTATATATATATGACAGGCATGCATCTTGGGCACACACACACACACATAGAGATGTGTGTATAGAACATAATGCATATAATATATGCATCTATATAGAGAGATTTCTTTATCATTAGAGTCATGCTTTCCTTCTTCTTATGTGAAAAGAGTCAATGGGTAGAAAAGACAAATCCCGTGAAATGATGCCCCACATGTTTCTAAATGTTATCTTACACACAGCCTCATTTCAGATTCCAGTCAGGAAACCTCATGAGAACAAACCCATAGAACACAAGTAAAGTTAAATTTCTTATGTGCTTAAGAGGTATATTTTAAAATTGCTAGTCATGAATAAGAACAATCATTTTAGCTTAGGTAACCTCTTCATTACCTGCATTTGTATAAAAGTTGAAAGAACAAAAACAGACTCAAAGGAAGTATGGTTCAAGGTTTTAAAAACTAGCTGTATGAAGAGCTTAGAAAAATAGCTCAGTTGGTTAAGAAGCCTACTAACGAGCATGAGGACCTGAATTCAATCCTCAGAGCCCATGTCAAAAAGCCAATCATAGCCAGGTGAGGTAGCTCATGCCTTTTATCACAGCACTTGGGAGGCCAATGCTGGTGTGTCTCTGTGAGGTTGAGGTTTACATTGAGTGTTCCAGGACAGCCATAGCTGTATAGTGAGAACATTTAAAAAAATAAACAAACAAAAAGCCAGTTATATTGTTGTGTGTATATGACCCCAGTGAGGGTGAGGCAGAGACAATACCTGGAGCTCACTAGCCAGTTAACTCAGAATAATTGTCAAGTTTCAGGGTATACAGACCATGTCTCAATCAACAGGATACCTGAGGAATGACATCCAAGGTTGACCACTGGCCTCTGGATGCACATGTACACACACACACACACACACACACACACACACACACACACACACACGCAAAAAAGCAAAAAGAACCACACAAAACTTAGGTCTATGATCGAGTGAGGCACTTCAAGTGAATGGAAATTGATTATTAGTCACGAATACTTAAGCATTCATTTTTCTTTGTTGAAAATATATGCTTTAACTGTCCAGACATACCAGGAATAGAAACACAGTACATGAACATTAAATCATTTCTGAGCTTGACGCTACTTTCTACAAATGTGGATTGAGCTTTTCAAGAGTAAAAGGCAAATTTTTTGACAAATGAAACTATTATATGGAAAACCAATGATAGTTTTAAAACTGAGAAACTAGAAAAAACATGTACTGAATAAAGATAAAATGATTAAAGAATGGCATGCTATGGTTATAGAGTTTATGTGGCTTCATTTAAAATATATCAAAGTACACTCCTGGCAGCAAATGACACCATGTAAGCCACTAGACAGGTTTTCCCACGTAATGTCTTTGCATTCCCTATACTGTGATACAGCTTAGTCAGTGATGTGACCAAGCTTCTGTTTTACAAGGTGTGTCTGATTCTTCAGAAAAGTCAACACATATGGGATCAAATAAATGTGCTGAGCTGACTATTCAAGCTAAGCTAATAGTCTGTGGTCACATTCCTAAGAAGTACTGAACTGCTTTTTCTGGAAAACTCTAGGAATAAATTCTAATAAATTTATAAAACATGTAAATCAATGTCATCTGTATTAGAATGAATGTTCAGTCTCTCAAATAGCTATGCTAAAATTCAATTAGACATTAGACTGTAACCTGAAGCCATGTTACATTTCTGCATAGTAAGAGAAATCACAGATGCATAGTAACTTTTGAAACAGTCTTTCCAGTGACACCTGAAAATAAAAAGATATGTTGTCTGGATCTATTTGTGGTCCTTTTTAAAAAGGTGAAATTACTAATTATTCCTTGATGCCTCATAAATAGTGTATGCAGGGGTCATTGTGGTGACATTCAAATTCCAGTGATGAAGGGACTCAGACTGAAGGTTCCATTTCCTCACTGGAAAGCACCTTGTGAAGTGATAAGCTTTCAGGTGCCTCTGTTTCAGATATTTTCATTAATAAAATGGAATTAGTGCATTTATACCTCACACAGCTGTTGAAGGATCAAATAAAACTGTCTCAGGTATACAAAGGGCCACACCAGGATAGAAAACTCTGCACTCCATGGGGGACTCCTCGGTCATACTCTGCCAACATGTGTGTTGCCACCATCATGGACAGGTGATGCTAACCTTGGAGGCAGCAAGGCAGAAGACATGGAAATATTCAGCAGCTCTGGCACCCCAATCTTCCCACCTTCTCTCTCTCCTGCCATCTCAAGGAGTGAGAGTGACACCGACCCCAGCTGGGAAGACACAGAGGGGTCATGACTTAACATTTCATTTGCAAAGAGGTTTCAGGCTTCTATTCTGTGTAAGTTCAGGTGTTATTTTAAGTATATGTATATATTTAAATAAAAAATATATGTATACATACATACATACATACATTCTGCAGGCTACACAATTACCAACAAAAATCAATTCACCCCAGCAAAATATTGCTCAAGTTCTAAGACAATGGAGAGAAAAATTCAATGATACTGGCCCTGGGTCCTCTATGTGAAGTTCATATGTATGCTGGTATGCTGAGCAAAACATGCATATGTTTCCATTTATGTCTTTCAGGTCACAAAGCATTGCTGATGTGGCTATAGAAGCTTCATTCACTCCAGACACAATCACATTGCTCAACAAGGATGCTAAGATAACCCTCAAACTCTGCTTCAGAGCAAAGTTTAAACCCACTGGGCAAAACCATCAAGTGGGTGAGTAGACCTGAAATAATCCATGCAGAGATGACTTTGCCTCGACAGCTGTAGCTAGAGGTTTTGGTTTACAGACCAAAAGAAATAAGGATCTTTACTGGACGTGATTAAATGTCCATGCACTCAGAAGCTAGCAGTAGATCATTAGGTGTGGAGGTTTATTTAGAGCATCTTGCTTAGCTCTAGCTGGTGGGGTTCTGCTACAGAACATCGTAATCACTGTGGCATAGTGATGGGCTCTGCCTTTGCGTCTCTCTTACCCAGAGATCCCGCCCATAGATCCTCAGTACACATGGATTTCATTGAACTGTGGCAAGTTCTAAATGAGTGGGTCACTTACTGTCTATGCAGTCGCCTAAACAGGTGTGCTTAGCAAAAACACTGAGTATTCCTGTTACCAAGGAAGAAGAAGGAAAAAGGAAAGAAATAAACAACTTGTATCCATCATTTTAGCATCTCTATAGTAGAAGTCTGAAGTGTGTTCCATCAGGTGGGAGAAAGCACAGGCAGGACTGTGGGCAAATGTCAGCAGGACCTGTCATTCCTCTCTCCCCTAGAGAGACCAGGTCATCTTGCAGGACCTGTCTCCTCTCTCCCCTAGAGACACCAGGTCATCTTGCAGGACCTGGCTGAGGTGTTGCATCCTCTTTGAAGCCATTTCTAACCAAACAACTAGCTCTGTTACCTCAGCATCTTCTGTAGACAGCAAGCAAAGCAACACATCATTAAAAGCTGAGTGTTTTTCCCTTGCTAATCATGGGTTCTAATCTCTTCTCCATCAGACCCCAGTTCTTTATTTCAGACCTCTTCCTAGTGGCACTTAATGAAATTGCAAGCAAATTAGCTTGAAGACTGAAAACAATCGGGTCAGTAGTTTGTCATTATTCATAGCAAGAAATACATGAGCAAGGAGAGAAGCCTTTGGTACAGCTTCCGGGTTTCCTCTCAGGTGGTCAGACACTGGCCCATCTTTGAATGGCATACCTCACAGGCCTGCCTTGGAGCACACATCCATCTGAATAGCCACCATAGTTAAGCCGAAAACTGCCTCCATATCAACATTTTTAGTCTGCTTGAAAGATTAAAATGGAAAATGTTCCTGGGCAGTCGTGGCTGGCTGCCCAGCTATCTTGGCCCTGAAGTGTGAATATGCCTATGTGTCTTCCACATTTTGAATGTTTGTCATATATTCTGTTGACACACACTGAAAAACCTGAACTTTGAGAGAAGACCCTTCCCACTGATTGGCTGGGGAGGGTTTGGAGTTTTTCTTGCCATTGGGAACCTTTCCCTTTGACTCTTTATCCCGCTGTGTTCAGGTCTACACTGATGATCTGGTCATACTTTTTCACTTTGTTGCTTGGCAATAACAGTACATAAGAACAAAACCCCACCTTTATAACCGTATGGCCTCTGAAACTGTATATCTATTTTACAAAGCTACTTGAAAACACATGGTATGTACTAACTTTGTCCTTTTGACAGTTCCACAGCCTCGGTTAGTAGTTTTCCAGATCCATATTTTTTATCACTTACTTTTAGTCTTTCCATTCAATTCTTTCATGTTTCCTACATCTTTATTGGTTACATTAAGCACAGAAATTTCTTGAGTTTCTTTAATAGATACATTAAAGGTAACATAGATACATTGTCTTAGGAAATATACTCAATTTTAAATACTGAATAAATCTAATATGGTAATTCCAAATAAGGCAGCTGCTATAACCAGCTGAATTTCTGGCATGTGGCCCAGGGACTTTCTTGAAGGCAACTGGTCTGATGATTTAGATTTCGGTTACTGGCATTATTTTTCATCACACAGTTTTTTATTTCCACTCCCCTGGGCTAATACTAATAATTTCTCATTGCTAGAGGAGGAGAGAATCAAAGAGGGTAGGAAAAGTGCTCAAAGTCGAAGAAGTCATGAAGTGTACATCTGGCTCAAAGCTGTGATGTTGCATGTCTTTCTCCACATAAGCATCTACAATACATCAAACACTGTACCTGCTCTTTTAGTCGATCACAGCTAATTATTTTTAATGGCATGGGAATAGAAAGAACATGAGCTTTCATTTCAAAATGACTCAAATTTTACCTCTGACCTTGCCCCAGCTGGTTGAACTCATGCCAGTTACTGTGTCTCCTCTAATCTAGTTTGTTTTCTCAACAGTAGCACCAGGATACCCAGTGTCCAGGTTTATTGTAGAATTGGTAGCATACAAGGATGTGTTCAACTGGAGGCATCCCATAATGGCAACTTCTTTCCTGTGTGTGCCCCAGGTTATGGCAGAAGAAGCTAATACACAGTAAAGGGATCACTTTTCCAGGTTTATCCAATAGATTTCCTGGGGCAAAGGCAACTGTTGTTTTCCACTGCTGCAAGCTGCATTTTTCTGGCTCTTTCTTTTTTCTTTCTTGTTTGTATTCTCTTAGACTGAATCACACGAAATTACAAAAGCCATACAGTTTCTGCATTTTCTTGATATCAGCCTTTGTCCAGTAAGATAAAACAAGACTGTCTGTTTTCTTCCTCAGAGCTTACTTGACATATTTCTTTGTGTTTTTGTCATAGCCATCCTGTTTAACATGACACTTGATGCAGACAGACATTCATCCAGAGTAACCTCTAGGGGGACATTTAGAGAAAATAGTGAACGATTCCTGCAGAAGAATGTGATTGTAAGCCAAGCCCAGAGCTGTTCTGAGTACCACATTAGCATACAGGTGAGATCTTGGGATTACCTCTCCCCACCCTTTTCTTCTAAAAGATGAGTGAATACAGGAAGTCTGAAGGGAGTTATATGTTAGAAAATGCTTGCCTTTCTGATGACTGCATTTCTTGTCTAACTCTATGAAGAGGAAGCACATGTTTTATGCTAATATTCATGGTCACGTTCTGACTTTATATGGGTTAGTGACATTAAATTTTATCAGTGAGTGCAACTAAAGAAATAAAACAAGAGGGGCTAGAGAGATGACTGGGCTGGTAAGGATATTAGCTGCATAAGCATTGGGACCTGAATTCAAATCCCTAGCACATATGTAGAAATGCCAAGTATGACTGTATGTGTGCCTGTAACCCCAATACTGTGAACATCAGAGATAATACAGTTTCTGGGGCTTGCTGGATGCCATCCTAACTCCTGGATCATCTGTGTCCCAAGGGGAAAATGTAGAACATGGTGAAAGAGAAGACCCAATGTCCTCCTCTGGCCTCCACACATAAGTGCACATATACCACACACACATGTACATGGGCACACAGCCCCCCCAACACACAAATGCGCACATTGAGTAAATAAAATATACACTAATTAAATAAATGCTTTTCTGAAAAAAAAAACAACAGAAAGACAGGGCTTTCTTAAATGGCTAATCTAGCAAACTTTGCATTGGTAATTTTCTTTTGACATCTTTCCCATTAGGTAAAGGTTGTAGTCATTTTTAACCTACTAAAAATGAAAATTTCAATTGTGGTTTCTACTACTGCTTTGCACTGGGGTCACTGGCTCCCAACCTTCCTAATGCTGCTACCTCCTAATACAGTTCCTCCTATTGTGGTGACCCCAACAAGAACATTACTCTGTGGCTACTTCATAACTGTAATTTTGCTACCATTATAAACTGCAATGTATACATCAGATATGCAGGATTTGTGATATGTGACCCCCCTGCAAGGGGGTCATGACTCACAGGTCGAGAACCACTGTACTAGGTGAATAATAATAGCCTATGTGGTAAAGATTGCTTGTTCCACTATTAAGCCATGATTGCTAAAGTTCACATTGATTTGGGAAATGTTTCCTGTAGGAAAAATGCTTCTTAGGAGAAACTTTCCAATCAGAAACTTACTTTATAAGTCATATGAAACACACTCCCTTAGCAACTGTGTAATAATATCTTAAAAGTAACAGGAGAAGACACCTTCACTCACATAGGCACATAGATACATGCACACACACACTCATACATAAATGATGTTAAGAAGAGGGGGGTCCCTTGAAATTTTGATGCATTAAAATAAGTTCTGTTATTTATTAGTTAATTTAATGATTTCATGTTCATGTACCCCTGGGACTTTTGTTAGTTATTGAAGGCACTCCTGCATCACACACACACACTTATGTGTGTGTGTGTGTGTGTGTGTGTGTGTGTGTGTGTGTGTGTGTAGTAAGAGAAGGGGATAGGAGTGGAGGGGAACAAAGGGTTGAGAGATAGGCGAGGATACAGAGAGGAAGGGAAGAAGGGAGGAAGGAGGAGAAGGGAAGAAACTTGACTTCCATTCTTTCCAGACCTTGTCTACTATAAGATCATATTACCCATGCAATCACAGATTTCATGGAAGGAAGAGAGACGATGCTAGAAATGAGAAGCAAGAACACCTAAGAGTTGGACACTGACATAGGACATATCATCTAAATACTTATAATTACTTGTGTATAAATAATGAGATTGTTTATCATCCTAGTAAAAATTGCTATTTCAGATTTCTAATGCAATTGAGTCACCTTGGGTTTCTGAATTGGGATGAGAGAGGAAGTCTTGGTTATTCAGAACAAGCCTCTTCTCTGTAACTGATGGTGCTTTTAATTATAAACACATGTGTGGACTTCGTTTTCAAGTTACTATGACTAAGTAATCTATCATCCCCCTCCTCCTGTATTTAGAAGCCATCTGATGTTGTCAACCCTCTGGATCTGCGTGTGGACATCAGTTTGGAAAACCCTGGCACTAGCCCTGCTCTTGAAGCCTATTCTGACACTGTCAAAGTCTTCAGTGTGAGTGTGGCTTGCCTTCCAAGTGGAGGTTGGCTAACAGCTTCCATAGTTGCTGTGGTGTTAAAGATGCTAAGACGTAGCGTATATGTAATGACGCACACACTTCGCAGGCATTTCCGGTCCACAGAGCAGATATTTCCTCTTCCGCACTCTGTTTCTGTCCCCAAGAGAGGTGCCAAGCCACCACGGGTGTTCAACAAATGTTTCATGAAGAAATAAAGAATTAAACAGGCCAAATTGCTTGTGCTCAACACTCACTTAAAAATTCAGATGCCTGTGAAATTGATGGTCTCTCTCCATTATGTCTACTTTAATTTAGCTACCTATAAACAAGCTATTACCAGCCAGACATGGAGGCACATGACTTTAGTTCTAGCAGTCAGGAGGCAGAGACAGGCAGATCTCTGAGTTTGAGTCCAGCCTGGTCTGTAGAGTGAGTTGCAAGACAGCCAGAACTACACAAAGAAACCCTGTCTCAAACAAACAATTGTCTTGAATTTTGTATTTTTCAATATTTTTTCTTTATGATTATGCTAACAACATACAGTCTCCTAAACTTTGTTTGGTTTTCCATAGTTTTCACCTTTATGCCAACAGGATTATATATATATATAATATATATATTATATATATATTATTTATATGTGTGTGTGTGTGTATATAGTTTTTAACCCAAGAGTACCTGAGAAAATGATGCTTTTTCTTTTGTTGTAGATCCCTTTCTATAAAGAATGTGGCAGTGATGGACTCTGCATCTCTGACCTGATCCTGGATGTTCAACACCTGCCAGCCATTCAGTATGTGAGAATTTGCAATTCTGTGGAAAATGTAGAAATAAAAGAAGGCACATTACATTTCTTCATTCAAGACAAAATTTTGAATTTCTTTTCTCCAGAGGAAGTTTTCAGAATATAGTTAAAACATTTAAAGCTGAAGTTCAACTTCTACCATTCTCCTAAGAGTAAAACCAAGAGAAATACCAAACTCTGGTCCTTGCAATAGCTAGAAGCGACAAAGAAGCAGATCCTGCATCATTTGCTTACTTGTCAGCATCACTTTACTGTGAAGAAAGTCTTTCGTTATTAAGTAATCATCAAGCAAATGCAAAGAATTTCTTGATCAAGAAAGTTTTTGAGTACGGGTTAGTTTCAACTTCAGCGGCTTTATCTTTCTCTCTTCTCTTGTTTAAACAGAAATCAACCGTTTATTGTCAGCAACCAGAAAAAAAGGTTAACATTTTCAGTCACACTGAGGAACAGAGGGGAGAGCGCATACAACACTGCAGTCGTGGCGGAGTTTTCAGACAACTTGTTTTTTGCTTCTTTTTCCATGCCGGTACATGAGAAACCCCACCCCCAACACACACACACATACACATCCCTACCTCCTAACCCCACAAGCACTCCCACAAAGGCCAACCCCACACAGCATTTTGCTCCTACCTTCCTGCCAATTGCTGTCTCTGATACTCAGACCTCTGTGTCCTCCAAGCTGTCTGGAAAAAAAAATCAAGAGTTGACCCCAGGCATGCTCAGTTCTACCTTGTGGCTTCCAGTTAGTAAAGCCTCCTGAGAATGTAGTCTGGCTCCGAATCCAGGGCGGCTCTGCTTGCAGTCTGGGTCACTTTTTCCTTCAGCCCAGGCCTTGGCGGCCTCAGCTACTGACTTCAACCATCTGCACTGTGAGGAGGTCCTGGTCAGTCGTGGGCTCTGCAGGTGTGGTACCCTTGCTCAGTGGCGTCCAGTCCCACAGCGTGGTCCCAGCTTTGAGATGCTGCTGCTGTTTCTGGTGGCAGGATGATGCATTCCTGCACTGCCACTCTGTCAGTTGATCTGATCACTAAACCAAGAATATGCTTAACCCGGGGAGCCCCTTGCTAATTCCTCTGCTCTCAAGCCATGGGGAGAAAAAAAAAGGAAAGAAAAGAAGGAAGAGCTATTTTCCAACTGGGCTGCTTGATTAAAGGATATAAACATGTTTCTTTCTGTTTCAAGTTCATGTGGACTTTATATACTTAGAATTCCAAAACTATGCTGTCCTTGGGTTTAAATGGCCTGTTCTGGAAAGCAGCTCTTAGATAAAAGACAAAATGATCTGTGGGAAACTGGCAAAATCTGTTAGATATCTAAAGCACAAACACCAACATGTGCTTTTCTTCTTTTAAAATGATGCATTTCAAAAGCATTATGAAGAAGGTACTCCTAAATATAAGGCTCCTGAATGTTACATTAAAGATATTTGTGCTTCTGAAATACAAAAACTGATGTCCATCTTAGGGCACATTTCCCCCAATCCTTTAGCTTCTTGAGTGTATCTTTCGAGTTGGCAATAAAAACAACACGTTAACCACTTAGATAATACCAGATATTCAAGTCTTTGAGAGCAACAAACTATTTCATTATAAACCAATATCATTGGTAAGATGCCGGCCTCTCAGTGTGGGTACACACACACACACACACACACACACACACACACACACTTAATTGTTATTTCTTTGGTCCTCTTCAGGTCGACGGAACAGAAGTAACATGCGAGGTTGGCTCATCACAGAAATCTGTTACCTGTGATGTGGGATATCCCGCCTTAAACAGTGAACAGGAGGTACAGTTTGCATCGTCTAATCCCAGCTCTCCACACCTGAGAACACTCACTGTACTTACCAGGCATCATCATAAAACAGATCCCACAAAACTCCCAGCCCCATACCTTGAAGGGATCCCCTCACTGGGGTGATTCTCTTTAAATCACTAACAAAAGTCGCATTTCCTCATGTACCTTTTTCCAAGTGCACACACAATATGCTGTGCTCTCCATGTGACTATGTTGACTAACATTGGTCAAAATGCTGCAAGTAACTTTTAGACCACCACAAAGCTTGACAATTCTGACAAGTGTACCTGGATGGCATACTATTCTGATAGAAGTTATGCTCTGGTTCTCAGGTAGGCAAGGTGGACAGATACAATCTACAAACTTAAAATTTTAAGACATGAAACTCAGAGTTACATGAGAATGGGTTCACCTTTCTGGGGAACATTTTCCCTGGTATAAAGTATCGCAGATTGATGGATCTTAATGTCATGTGTAGGTGACTTTTACCATCAACTTCGACTTCAACCTTCAAAACCTCCACAATCAAGCATCCATCCATTTCCAAGCCTTCAGGTAAGATGCAATGCAATCATTGCTTAGTGGGTTTTATGTGAGTTATCTTTAAGTAACTTCTAATACTTGTTTTCACAGTGAGAGCCAAGAGGCAAACAAAGCAGACAATTCAGTCAGTCTCAAGATCCCTCTTCTGTATGATGCCGAAATTCACCTAACCCGGTAGGTGAAGTCTGCTACATGGTGGGTAGGATTTACTTGACAGCATTTAGCTCAAAACTACAGTCTTACTTAGCACACAGATTTATTTCCCACTTGTCAACTAGACCAGAAACGTGCAGACAAATAGATGCCTAGGAACATTTGAACTTTTTAGGTTTATTGACTCAGAACAGCACCAGAGGAAAAGTGTTTTCATCACATGCCATAGGTCAACGACCCCTGAAGGTGGTAAGGTGCCTGTAACTAAGATGGTGAAACAGAGGCTGTGAGAGTACCTGTTTTGGGACATGGAAGTCCTCGGCATCATGTTTTGGACATTTAAGGGGCACAATAAATGAAAAATGGAGTCTCAGGTTGAATAAGCTGATGTGGAAACTAGACCAAGTCCAACTTCTTAATGGAAAACTCCAGCCAGACATGACTGGTGACAGTTTCTTCCCACCAGGAGGAAATGAGGGATTTTCCAAAGGAAGTCAGCCATGAAGAAAGGCTTTATTCTTTTTTCTTTCTTATTTCCTTTTCTGCCTTCCAACACAGGTCAAACTGAGGACAGTGGTTAAAATGTTACCAGTGGACACCAGTTATCTTGAATTGTTCCAAGAGGCAGGTGTCTTGGGAAATAGGTAACACACAAATCCTACAAGTGTTATAGGCAGATAGCTTCTTAGTTCACTCTCAGAACTAAGGTCACTTCCCTGTGTAAACCAAAGACCCCTGAAAACATGCAGCACTGGTTTCCCAGTAAGTATATGGGCAATCACATGCCAGCCCAGTCCATTAAAGCATGGAACATACAGCTCATGTAATAAATCACAAAACAAAACTGAAAAGGAACACGTGGCATCCTGTTTGAAGCCTGAGACACATGAGCAAAGATAAAAAGAACATGTCTGTATGAAGTGAGCCACAAAGGCACATACGGAAATAAAATATAGCCCATGTTATCCAACCCTGATAAGTGTATTAGTAGCTAGTTTCTAAAAATCTCTCTTTGCTAAGATAAGTTACTTGATGACAAAGCTAAGGTGATGTGTATTACCATGTCACCTAAACTTTTTTCTTCTAATGTATACAATTTTGTATTCTCTTAAACACAATCAGTAAGAGTCTATAACATGGAATGAATAAAAGATTAAAATAGGACTTTACTTTTACTAAAATCTTAGCTATGTGAATTTTGTGATTGAAATTTTTATTCTAATTCATTCTAGCTTTAGAGTCTGTAGTATGTCTTAAAATGCTAAGGAATATGGTAAAAAATTGTTATGGAGATTTTGAAAGAAATGACATCTGATTCTATACCTAGATGGTTCCCCACATACTTCTCCTTCGTAAAAAAAAATTACATGAGTGTATTTGGAAAATACAAACATTACAGTAAAACACAAAATGAAAAGTGATGCTAGCGTTCTCCACCACCTTGATGACAGTCCCCATAAAAGACTAACAAGACTATTTTGGAATATTTTCTGTACAGTTAATTTATCTATGAAGTTACACACACACACACACACACACACACACACCATCATTTTACTTACTAAAATGGAATACTCAAACATTCTTTTTATATCTTTATGTGGTTTTCACAACAGAATATACATATGTAATTCATTCTATTTCTGGATAAATCATAATCCATGTAACCACTCCAGCAGTAATTAGACATTTTGTTGTTTCACACTTTTGTCTGTGTAGCTAACCAAAACAATACTGCAAAGAAAGCTTTAAGATTTTGAAAACTTTTGAGCAAATTCCCTTCTAATCATCATGTCCCTTGGTAGCCACTATAATACTGTATACATATGCCATTATATTCTATGCATATGATAAACATAAATAGAATTATTTTAGCAGGGTCCTCATTAGACTACTGCTACTATAACCTTTAAGTAATCTAGAGAAAACTTATGTAAAAAGTGGAAAAGTGTCAGATCTTAAAATACAAAAGCAGACCATATCAATCAATTTAGGAGTTGGCTTTGTTTAGGGGCTTGCATGAACATCTGGAAGGCAAAGAGGATAGCTCGTCACACATAGCTGGGTTTTCTGTTTCAAATCCTAGTCAGTTTTCCCATTTTCCAAACAAGGCTGACACATCATTGTTTCCTCTCATACACACAAAACCCTGACAAATACCAATATATTTAACTCTCCCTGGGACAGGGTTTCCTTTTGAAATTCTGGAATTGCTTTCTTAAAAGATGGAGAGAGATCGGGGCAGACAGAGAGAGGAGAGAGAGAAAGGGATGAAGGGAGGAAGGAAGAGAGAGAGAGACAGAGACAGAGAGAGAGAGGGAGGGAGGTACAGAGAGATAAAGAGAGAAAAAAAAACAGAGGTGCCAGAGGTGTCTCATAAAGTGTCTAGTCCATACTGATCATCCTATAATTTAGATTAATTATCCCCTGATATGTATGGGAGGATGTGCAGAATGCTTTGCAGAATCTTACTCTGGCTACCAGCTCTTTTGCATTCCACACAATGCAAAGAAGTTGCCCTGGCTGGACTGTAGCCTCCAAACACCAGACATAAGTGAGGAAATGGAAGGTGTCCAGTTTCACCCACATCTGAACAGTGTCCTGGGGAATCCTCTGGCCTGGGCATTGCTGTGCTTGCAGGCATTAATCAGGAATCCTAAATCATGCACTCAAGATCTCATAATAAAATCTTTGGATTTTAAGAGTGGTTCAGTGATGATGGAAACAAATTCAATCTACCCTCAATTCATTGCCAACTATTTGAGTTGGTCTAAAACTAGAGAAAGATTAATAAAATAAATCCATACCCTGTTTGAAAGGCATTTAGTAATGGATACTGCAGGAGCTAATAGCTGGTACCCATCATTGTACTACACACAGCAAGTGGAAAAGATCTTGGCTTACAGATCCAGTCCAACCCCCGAAGCTGGAGTGTCTGCCTTTTCAACACACTTGCTAACGTAACAGAAGTCTGGAGACTAATGCAACTGTCAGTTCTAAAGCAGTGCTTTTATTCCTATGTTAGGAACCTGACAATTGATAAACACACAGGCTCCCCTCAGACAGACAGTGAATGGGGAATGATCTGAAAGGAAGTTGTTTTGATCTCACAATCACACATTGGACTGTGGACTCTAACAAGCATTCATTCACATGTGGTATTTTTAAATTTACATAATAACAATTAATAATCCTTAGTATTTATGGGGCTCAAGATTTTATATGTGTGTGTTCGTGTGCATACAAATGACATCAGTGGTAGGTAGCGGTGTCATTACTACACTCCCCAGACACCAGTCAAGCAGAAAGACAGATTCTCATATCCTCCCGTGTGGAAGCTTAAAAAACAATAATCATTTGGTGCTTCTGTAAGGAAAAGTGAACCATTTTGATGGTAATCCAAGCCATAAGATACTTAAGTAAAATAAATTTATTTTTTCAAGAGCAACAACAAAACAAAAATAATTGGTTTTACCGATGTCACCCAACAGATCCACCAACATAAATTTTTATGAAATCTCTCCGGATGAGAATGCTCCTTCTGTCATAAACAGTGTTGAAGATATTGGACCTAAATTCATCTTCTCGCTCAAGGTTGGTAAGCTTGTTGTACAGATGACAAACCAGGAAGAGGAGGAACGAAATAAAGGCATATTGGATGAGGAGAAAGTGTACAGGAAGATCAGAAGGGCCTGTCAAAGCACACACACACACACACACACACACACACACACACACACACACACGCACGCCCCGTGCTTTCTGACTCAGAAGCTCTGTGGTGAGCCTGGAAGTGTGCATGTCTGACAAGGCCACAGGCAATGCTGTAGATGCGGCTGATTAGGGTGTCACTCTTTGAGTACACTGAGGTAGATGACAGATAAGTAGAGGGACTTATGCTTAGTTGTGTGTTCTGGGTAAGATAGACATGATGTGTTTACAAAGCAAATATTCAGGATTAACGAGCAAGGCGTTGCTGCATAGTGTTACTGTGGATGTGTCCATTACACTGCGACTGCTTTATGCCCGCAGACCAGTGCTGCTTGCAAAGCTCATCATTTGTACATGGTGCAAACAGGGGTTTTGTGCAGTCATGCCAGGTACTATCTAGAATGCTTTGAGGCAATTCAGTGCATCATAAACTGTAAGGATATGTGAATAGGTAGCTATTAACCTACAGATTGGAATCACGTATATGGAGAAATTTTTTAAAAAGACACTGGTAGCCCCAGAGCTTGGGAAGCTGACCGGAGACTGCTGTAAGTTGAAGGCCAGTCTCAGCCACAGAGGATGATCAAGAAAAGGAGAGAGAAAGAGAGAAATTAAGTTATAAGGCAATTACTAATTTGGAAAAGAATGCTATGGAAACCTTGGAGAGTAAATAGGAATCCACCTGCCTCCCTGAGCTGACAACAGTTCTTCTCCGTGCATTTCCACTGGTACACGCACAGTTCCGGCTCTGCAGTTTAGTTCCCATCGTTAATGACAAAAGAGTCTTGATTTGTTATCCAGATTGTGTTTCAGAAAATGAGGATGGTAATCACATGCCTTATAGGATTTTTAACCAACCCGTGGTTTAAAATTTATACTATTAAGAGCGCAAGCATCAGCCATTGTATCACGTGTTTTTACACTAACAGTGTAATCCCCACCAGTGATAACACACAGCGTGGGAGCACATGGCTGCTGAATTTTGGGTGATCTTTAATTTTTATGTGAAAATTGATCTTTGGCGAGGTTCAGTTCCTTGTCCAAGCCACGCTACTACTCGCCATTGGCCTTGACTAGAATCAGGGGTGGGGTTTCTGGCAGCATTGTATCTCCTGTTACTCTCTACATAGGTAACAACAGGAAGTTCTCCGGCAAGCATGGCATCAGTAACCATCCACATTCCTCAGTACACCAAGGCAAAGAACCCACTCCTGTATTTGACCGAGGTGCAAACAGATGAGGTAAGGACAGTACAGCTGGTCATACAGATAGGAACAACCTGTGACTTAAGGGTGATTGTGTCTGCACCTAAAAGTTGAAAACAAGAAGTATCACTATGCATCCCAGATCTCAACAAACCAGTATCAGACTTCGTATTACAAGCAGAATACTGTCCTAAGAAAAAAGCATCCTGGTGGCTGAAATTATTCTAAACGTCTCTGTTCTGGGGAGGAGAGGATTTGACTCAGTCAGACCCTGTTAGGAGAGAACACTAAAAGTGATAGGCTCAGTCTATTGTGGACAAACAGTAGGTCTGGAGAGTTGCAATTAGCTGGTCTTCAAACATCTGGCTCGGACCTTCACACAGTAGCAGTCAGCCCTAGCTATTCATTTTAGTCACCCAGTTACCTTTTAAGGAGAAACATCAAGGCAATGAAATCAGAATCTGAAGATAAGGCCAAAACACTGGCCTTGCTCTGTAAAATTTACAGACATGGGTTCTTCCGTGCAACCTGAACCAAGAGGCAGTGCCTGACATTGCCATACCTTTTACCATTGGCTCTCCTTTAGTTGAGCACTTAGCTGGTCTTACAGTAATATTATTTCTGCAATATGCTTAGTAGATTTTGAGAAATTAAAGTCCTAAAATATTCCAGAGAGAAGAACCTTGATTTGAACCGCTCAGGGTGTTTCTGTTTTACTATATTCTTTTTTTATAAGAAAAATGACAAACTTTCTTTTTATTTATTCTTTGTCTTCCACACCGTGCATCTCTATCCCATTCATTTCCCCATCATTTTGTAACTGCCCTCTGCCTTTGTAACTCCCCTACCAAAAAAATAAACAAATAAAATATAAGAGGGAAAGGAAAAAGCCATCGTGTCAGTTGTGGCGTGACACAGTGAGTCACGCAGTAAACTCCTTTATCCATGTCTTTACTTGCAAGTGTGCACTGCAAAGAGTCATTGAGCTGGTTCAAGGCCTCTGGTTTCTGCTACAGGATACATTCTGGGTCTCATGGTAGTTGGTACAGGAAGTGGAGGAAATGGAAGTACATTGCCAGGTAGGAAACTAGAGAGGGCCTAGAATTCTGAACTCCCTTTTTTAGGACATCCTTCCAAGTAGCCTGTAGATGTTCTACTGGAACCCAACTTGGAAGGTCTGGTCATCTCTCCACACTGCCAATTTGAGGGTCACATTTCAAATGTGTGCCCTTTGAGGAACAAAACCACACTGAAATCATGATAGGGACAGGCTACGAGAAGCTGGCCTACCTCATCAGGTCACATCAACTGTCTGGAACACTTCAGGCTTTCCTGAAGCATCTGGTCACTGAACCTCTGAGAAAGGAGCCCAGGGCCCCTCCCATACCCCATATGATGACAGGATTTCCTGGCAGGCTGAAGGGAATGGCACTAACCATTTTGCTTTCCACATCTGATGTGGTCTTCTTTTTTGTAGGCTGGTGACATCAGTTGCACAGCAGAAATAAATCCACTAAAGCTAGGACATGTGTCCTCTTCCGTAGCTTTCAAGAGTGAAAACTTCCGGCACAGGAAAGAACTGGTGAGGAGAGGTCAATGTTCCTGCCGAACTTGCCTTAATTGATTTGGTATCTGTCACACCTGGAACCGGTGCTCTTATTTTAGACCAGCAGCGGAGACTCCAGAGTGTTCTTTTGCTTTTGATGTTGACTATTAATTAGGATATAGCAAACAGGCTTTCAAGTTTAGGTCGAGTATGCACAGCATCAACAGGACATGTGTGATGTGGCATAGAAATAAAAAGGGGGCTCCTGGATGCGGAGGATGCAAAAGGGTCAGGGATGGTGAGTAGGGAAAGAGAATCGACAGAAACAATCAACTTGGAAAACAGCACATGGAAACCAACACTTCCCCTGCTAACTTAAAAGGGGATTCCATTGCTTACTGCCTGTTCCCAGCTCATCCCTGTTCTTGGGGGAAGGGGTTAGTGAAGCAGCTAACATGGTTCTTGGCACAGACACCCATAGGGTAAGTAAACAATAAACCCCAAGCAAACGGTGACTCTTCCCCATTGGTGACACTGATGCTTCCTGGCTTCCTTTCTTTGCAATCTTTTTTATATTGTGATGGATGGAATAAACAGAAAAGGATGAAATAACACTTTTTTCTATATGTGTTAATATGTAGATGTATGTTGTTATATAAGTAAGCCACGTTGTTATTTTTGACCATAAGTAAGCCAATGTTATAGACTGTGCTTTTGGGTTTTCAGGGTTTGATGGGGGGAGAATGTGTGTATGTGTGTAATGTGTGTTGTGGGAGCATGGTGTGACTATGTGTGTATACAATGTGTATGTCTGTGGTTATAGAACAGTATGTGTGACCCTGTGTGTGGTGTGGAGTGTGTGTGTGTGTGTGTGTGTGAGTGTGTGTGTGTGAGTGAGTGTGTGTGTGGTTGTATGCTGCACAGACAGGAGTATGAGGCCGGGACGTGTCTTTGTTGCACTCTCTCATATTACGTTGAGACAGGGTTCCTTGTTGCACTGGATGTCCATGACTTTTGGCTAGGCTACATTGCCAGGGAACTCTCAGGGTTCACTGGTCTTTGCACTGCCTCCCCCAACACTGCAGCTCCAGACACACATAGCCAGGTCAAGCATTGTATGGGAATGCTGAGGGCTTGAACTTTTATCCCAATGTTCACAAGTACTCTAATCCACTGTGCTAACTCTCTTGGCCTCATAGACTGTTTTTAAAAGCCTTTGGTTTTTAAAGCAATTCATGATAAAATCATGTGAAATGTAGAGGAATTTCCCATATACCTCCTGTTCTAACATCTTCATGGCTTCATCCACCATCAAAGCCCCATGATAGAGTGGTATGTTTGCCATGAGTGACAGACCTACACTAACAGATCATACACCTATGCCATAGTTTATATTAGGGCTCATGGTTGGAATTTCAAATATTCACACTATGGAGTTTAAAATGCATAATGGCCTGTGTCCATTAATTATGGCAGCACACCGGGTGACTTAACAACCCAGAAACCTATGGTGTTGTGTGTATTCACACCTCCCTTTCTCCTAACCCCTGATAACCACTGGTTCTTTTACTGGCATATCTTAATCTGGGAAATTCGTTATTATCCTTAAATTTAATGGCTGAATTATATGACCTGTTGTTTCTGTTCAATATTTACTTGCCTAGTACATTGCTGGTCATAGTACATTTGAACAGGTTGTATATAGTATAAATAAATAGTACAGATTGTGCCCTTTTGTAGTAGGGATTTTCTTCAGGCCACCAGCTAGCTCCCAAATAAAGACACAGAGACTTATTATTAATTATGAATGCTCAGCCTTAGCTTAGGCGTGTCCCACTAGTTCTTTCAACTTAATCTATTTCTATTCATCTACATTTTGCTTCAGGACTTTTTAATCTTTCTTTCACTCCATATGTTCTACTCTCCTGCTTCCTTTGTGTTTGGATGGCTGGTCTCTGGTGTCTCTTTTTTTCCCCTTAAGCCTAAATTCATCCTCCTATTTACTCCCCTACACATAAATGCCACCTATAACTCTTCCCTTGCTATTGGATGTTCAGCTTTTATTAGACCAATCAGGTACCTTCAATAGACAAGGTAAAACAGCAACACATCTTTACATAACTAAACAAATACAACACATCTTTACATGGTTAAACAAATATTCTTCAACACACTTCTTTATTCTGCAACACCCTTCTTTTCACATAGTTTCTGTTATCTCTGAAGTTATCAGTACAAAAAGCAAGTGGCTGGGAAAAAGCCCTGTCAACTCTCTTTATATTCTGAAACATGATATCAAAATCCCTTGAAGATAAAAATTAGTGATAATTTAGATATAAATACTAATAGAGTTAAATATCAGTTATAAATATTAATAAACAGATATGAATACTAATATAAATTAGTATAAATAATAATAGATATAAATACAAATAATGATATAAGTACTAACAGAGCCTCATAATGTTTGTTTCCACAGGTCCTGTCTAGCATTATTTTATCCTTTGCTAAAGTTTTAGCATTTGTAACACCCATTCTCTCTCTGTGTCTCCCTCTCCCCCATGGACTGTGATCTGAAAGAACTGTACAACCACCTCCTGCAGTGACATCACCTGCTGGCTGAAGGAACTTCGCATGAAAACAGAGTACTTTATCAATGTCACTACCAGAGTCTGGAACCAGACCTTCGCTGCTGTAAGTACCAGATTTGCCTTCTGGGTTTATCAAAGGACAACAAGAAGGCATGCAGCTTCATTGCCAAAAATATTCCCCCTTTTTGATGAGCAGCACCCTGTCCACAGTCAGCAATACCCAAGCAAGTCAGAGAAACCGTACTCTAGGTAGTAAGTTCACATCCCTTTCCAATGCTTGCCCTGTCCAGCTTTGCCTCAGAATCATCTGGAGAACACCAGCCCATGCATCTATATGAATGGTGCTGAGGATGCCTTTGCTGTCCTTACCATAGACGGCATCTTCTTGATCTCCCTCATGATGTCCCCAAAGCTCTCTTTTTGTAGTCACACCTGAATCAGGATGTCCATGCTGTCTCTATCCTTGAGTTCTCAGCCAAGTATGTCATTGATTGTAAACCATGCAAAGATGAATCCAGCATAAGAGTCCATCCCCCTCTATTAATAAACAGGCAGACACTCTTTTTTCTTGGTTTAGCTCCAATTAATGGGTAAACACAGAAAGGATACAACTTTTAGGCTATTTCAACTCCATGAAAAAGAAAACACCAAAACAATTGTCAGCGTTGTTTCTCTGTACAGTAAGCAAGAGTGATCAGGGACTGGGTAGCCATGATTTTAGTCTAGCAGGAACACTGTAAATACAGACAACACGAGAAGGAGCAGGCCTCAGCCTCCTTGATCCTGACTGCTGGAATGGTTAGTTAACACCTTTTCCAATGTTGGTTCTGAGCATTGACAAACTATCTTACTCTGCATCTCCCAGGGATCTGTGTGACTGTCACTGGATGGCATTGAAAACAGTGAAGGGAGTTTAGGGAACTGTCAGCTGCATTGGCTTTACAACCTCTGGGACATCTAAGTCCTAAGATGTGATACTGGAGGCACAACCATTCTCCCGGATGTTGCAGTTTGATACTCAGTCTTGGTACTCCATCTTGGTACTCAGTCTGGGTATTCAGTCACTCTTGATACTCAGTGGGATCCTGGCTCCCTAGATCTAAAGAGCAAGTACGTTCATAACCAACTTTGCCAAGTGGAAAGGAAAACCGACTTCTGCACATCCAAAGATTGTCGCTCCAGCTCTGTGAAAAGCATTTGGGTTTCCTGGAGATTGCCTGAAGCTACAATATTTTAGCCATCAGGCGGTGTGAAAGTGACTCTCGACGGGTTCAGAGCTAGCCTTTCCTTTCTGGGAGCCAAGTTCTTAAGTAGTGGAGAATTTATCCTTTTCCAAAATAGTTACAGTTGTTAAACCGAGAAAGCAACCTTCAGAGTTACTGGGTGTCAAGCCTGGCATATCTTTCTCCTCCATGCAAGGTCAACTTTTTACCCTTGCTCTACTTTCTTCTATTTTAACAACCAAGTAGACGCTGCAGTCTGAGCTTAGGGTCTCATTTCCTGTATGGGGCTCACTATGCAGTGCTTCCTGTTAATCCCTTTTCTGATGCCGTGCACACTAGCTTAACATCTCAAGTATCTCATCACGCATTCATTGTTCAGCCTCCCCAGTAGCACTGGCTGTCTTTTTGTAAGGAAAACCCTGGTGAACGCTAGGAAGTGTGCTATTCTTCCTGTGCTAATTAATATTGCAGAATATTGAGCATGTGTAAGAACAGCCAGCTCTGTGTGGGCAGCTGCATGACCATTTTAATGACAATTATTCCATCACACAGTCTACAGGGGCTACAGTCTAGCATTGCTATGACTGCCACTTTTTGTTTAAATTTGTTCCATTATCAGAACTTTAAAAAGAAAAAGGTGTGTGTGTCTGCACGTGAACATGTGCGCACATGCACTGCATGTATGCTCATCCATGAGCTTATGTGTTTCACATGCAAATGGGTGCTCCTGGAAGTCAAGAGAGGGAATTGGATCTTCTATAATTGGAGGGATAAGTGGGAACTGAACTGGAGTCCTGTGCAAGAGCAGTGAGGGCTAGTAATCACTGAACAATTTCTACACACACACACACACACACATATACACATACACACACACACACACACACACACACACACACACACACACCATGTAAATACTCCTAATGGTTCACCTATAGTTTAAAGGATCAGCATTTAGGGTTAACATATGATGCAATCTTCCATCTTGAGAAAATTAAGAATAACCAGAGACTGGGCCAGCATAAAGGAAACAAATTGCTCACTTTTTGGAAATACATTCTCTCTTGCTGCTCCTGGATATAGTCTAGCAAATTACTTCATGAAGATGTTGAATCATGTGCCCTGGTAACCAGAACAACAGAGTACTAATAGCCAGCACACATGAAGATGCCTCTAAAGTCTGGGTGTTGGTCTATCACACATCATTATCAGGCCCACACTTTGTGTTGTGTAGCAAACAGTAACAGCAAGACATTTGCATCATCATGTTCCCACTGAGCAGACTCTTTCTCCATGAGCAAACTGATGATGACATGTGAGCTTATTATATATCCTTACTCATTGCATCAGCATACATGTATGTCCTTATACATCCTCTCCAGTCAGTATCACCTGATAGAGACATGTGAAATCATTTCTAATGTGATATAACACGTAAGAAGGCTCCAGATTTCTGCAGACATGTATCGTCAAGTTTAGGCAAACTTTTAGATAGTAATGTTTTACACAATAGAAGAAGAAACTCAAATGCTGGTGTCCCATTCATTATGTGCCTTGTTCCGGTACAGGTAAAAGAGTATTGTGTGCAATTTTCTTTCATGCATCAAGTTTCATTAAATTTAGGAAAAATCTCAGTGACAATTTTTCCCTTTTATAAACAGGCCTTGTAAGCCTTCTCTTTGAATCATTTTCAAATTTGAATAACGTACAGAGGTATTTCCAAGGTTCCCATCCGGGTACCACCCTGAGATTTGGTTTAACTTGCAGCAGCGGGCTCCAATGGCTGCACATTTCAAAGGCTGCTCAGCAACTTCTGATTGGCAGGTTTGGTCCACACAGCGAGTTCAAGCATGCAAAGGATGAATCTTCAGAACTGGGTTTTCTTCTTGTGACTAAACAGCCTTAAACATGCCAGGTTTCCTGTGTTTACTCTTGCAAGAATGAAATGTTTCTGTTCTGTGTTCCAGTCAACTTTCCAGACTGTGCAGCTGACAGCAGCAGCAGAAATTGAAACACACAATCCCCAGCTATATGTGATTGAGGACAACACCGTCACGGTGAGTGTGTGCTGCGTGCCCTCTGGGACAGACATTCTAGTGCATAAAACCAGAATGGCCATTCTCATCTCTGTGCATCCAGAAGCCTCTGATTGAAATGCTGAAGGCCTAGGCTTTACTAGGTTGAGATGTGGCCAGGGTGGCTGCGACTCAGAAAGTCCAAAGACACACTTGTATTTTTCTTAGCCTGCCATGCTGCAAAGCTGGATTTCTAGAAATGGCAATTAACCAAAAAGGTACAATCAGAAGGGCTCTGTCATGTGTGGGACAACAAGGTGACAGTTCAGGCCTCAAGTAGCATCACGACTTCTTCATGTGCTGTGAGAAACCATCAGCGTCTGAGGCACTGGCTTAAACCATGGATTGGATCAAGAGCATTATAAGAGAGTTTGTAATTAAGGCATCTATTAAACTTTTTCTGAAAAGTACTTCTTATAACCAGACACTGTGACATGTCCATTCATGGCCTCACAGTCTAAAGAACTACAAATGTACCCTTCATTTGAAAGGGAGAGTACTATGGAGGATTGTCCTTTTACGGAATACAAAGGCTGTCTGTTCTTGGGGCTGGCAGAGGCGACTTTCCTCAGCAGTGAGCCTCTGGCTAGCATGCACCATTTTTAGCTATGGCAGGATCTCCATGCCCAGCTAATCTGCTGGCAAAGCCCCCAGCATTTTCCTCCCCAAGCTTTTGTTTAGAACTGGAAGTCAATTCACAACTCTGTCCCCAAGGCCAGCTGGACAGTTGGCCTCTGTCCAGTGCTCCAGCCTACAGCTCGGTTAAAAAGTTAAGGGCCCCATGAACTCTGGGCCTCTCTCAATGCCTGGGTTGAATGCACAGCCCTGCTGCCCCACTCTTATCCCAGGAAAAATGATTCCACACAATAGAGGCTGCTTTTCTGCCTCTGATTTGGGAACCCTGGTGAAAGCCCACACCCTCTCTGCAGAGGCTGGGCATGGAAACCCAGAAATGGAGCCAAAGGAAGTTCAGACTCCAAACTTGAACTGCTGTGAGCCTAGTGACAGGAGAAAGTAGTATAGACTTCTCAGAGCTCGCTTTAGAAAAATGCAGCATTGGGGGATATGTAAACTCTGCTAAAGTCTTCCCTTCCTGAAAGTAGCCATTGAAGATATTAACTGAAAATTCAAAGTTTCATTTTCATGAATCCGCCAGAATTTTCTTTTCATGGTTTTTCTGTGAGCAGTACTAATTAATAGCAGAGACTGACCTCTACTTGTGTCTGGGAAATCCTGTAATCCAAACAATAATCTGGATAACCTTTTGAGGAACACTTGAAACCCAAATAATATAGTGGGATACACCTATATGAAGGCCCACTTCAAAATCAAATATATGAAGCATTGTGCTCAAGGGTGCAGGGTGATCTAAGCATCATACGTGTGGGCTCTGGAATATGACCTTGGTACCACACTACTACACAGTAGTGAACTGCACAAATTTATAGTAATTTCATTCAGAACAATTTAGTTTTTCAAAACAAGTAGGAGAAACATAGTCACAGAGCTGGCTTCCTATTTATCCCACTGTGAAGAGCAGCTTGCAAAGTGGTGGCGATGATGCATGCCCTTAATCCCAGCACTAGGGAAGCAGAGACAGGTCAATCTCTTGAGTTCTAAATTCAGGGCTAGCATGGTCTAAAGAGCGAGTTCCAGGATGGCCACGGCTACATAGAGAACCCTGTCTCACAAAACAAAACAAGAAGCAAAAAGCAAACAAAATGGCAGCTCCTTTGTCACTACAGTTTAACATGGTATCAAGTAAATAAATTATTGTCCCCTTTTGTTCTGTAACTCTAAGAATATTTTGTGGAGATTCCTCTTCTCAACCAAAAAAGAGTACAAAGTGTCACTTGAATGGGGTTGTCACTCTACTCCACTGCCACAAAGATCACTGTGGGACATAGGTATAAAGTCATGGATGTGCCCAAGGACAATGTCATCACTGAAAATGTCAACCTCACCCCTGTGATATACTATCCGCTCTACTTTTCCAGTGTTTTATATCAAACATGAATGAGATTGAAATCAGTATTTAAAAAACTGATGGAGTTATTGACTGAAGGGTTGGATGAGGCTATGTTTGCCCCCCTGCCTAGGATGCTTTGGTCTCATTTGATCACACACACACACACACACACACACACACACACACACACACACTCACAAAGTGCACCAGAAACTGAAGTGCCTTCAGCTCAGCACAGCCATAAGACAGCAATAGAGCAGAAGAAAAAGTAGAAAGATTGTGCATCACACAAGTTTTCAAGTTGTCTGGGCAGTATGTTTCAAATGATGCTCGAGGGACAAATGCCAGGATGACAAGTCACAGCTCCCATTTGGAACTGTGGGTCATATGTATAAGTTATTGAACTGTGTTAGGCTATATTACTTTTCTGCTACATAGATAACTCAGTTGTGAGCATGTATTCATTCACAGATTCCCCTTATGATAATGAAACCCACCGAGAAAGCAGAAGTACCAACAGGGGTTATAATAGGAAGCATAATTGCGGGGATCCTCTTGCTGTTGGCTCTGGTTGCAGGTTTGTGGAAGGTAAGAAAACTTCATTGCTAAAATGTGGTACTCCCAAAGGCCCCTGTGTTGAATGGCATGGTATGTCTTGCCATTGAAGAAAGAAATGCAAGGTTGTTTTTCCTTTCTTACTCAAGTCTTTGAAAAATCCAATAAGGACTTGGTTTTTATTTTAATCTCCCTGTCACCCAGCACCCTGAATATTTTGTTCAGTTTCAAATAGCAATGATGAAACTTAACTCTCTGGACATAAAGTTCCTCAACTTAAGGGTGCCAGCAGCCTCTGCACCATTCCTACTAAACATGCAGCAATCCAAACATACTGCAGAGAAATGGGCAACAGAGTAGGTCAGCACACATGCTTTGTTGGGTGGTAATGTCATTCTTTTTATGGGCATAGTGCTTTTTGGGTAATGATCAAAGATAACGGTAGTCACAGGGTGGTAACAGGATATGTTGTCACCTTACAGCTTGGCTTCTTCAAAAGACAATATAAAAAAATGAGCCAAAACCCAGATGAGACGGATGAGACCACAGAACTCAACAGCTAAACCCCAGATGGACACCACGGCATGGAGGCTGGCGACATCCCTGCTAGGGTTCACTGTGTGGTGAATGGATTTCTCTTACAGTCCAGTTTTAAATAATTTAATAGACAAACTAGCCTGATAATTTTAGAGTAACTGCTGGCCAGTTGGGAAAGAAGACATTGTGGGTGGTGGTTAGTGCTAGGAAGACTAAAGACATTACATATAAAGGAAAACAAAGTAATCTCTAGACTGGCTAGTCCAGTGTTTACATGCTAACATTCATTGTGTCAGCAAGATGGGATGCATTTATGCATGACAAACCTTCAAGAAAACTGTAACATTTTTATATTGGGGGGTGGTAAAGGGCATGGAGAATGCTCTTTTTAATTTAATTAACAGTATAGAAAAAGTGGAAAGTACCTGGTATGTATATAATGCATAACACATATTATATATGTTATATATATATTACCAATATAGCATATATTGTACATATTACATATATAACTGTGATATAACTTATATTGTAGATAATATATATTATACTGAGTATTTCCACATATATAAAGCTATATTACTCTAATAAATAATAATGTTTGTTGAAAAGAGGGAAAAACAGCATAGATTGTTTTTTCAATTTATGCTACTCATCCATGGTTGCCATAGAGGATACTTTTAAGTGATAATCTTATTTATAAACTAGGTTTGAAAAAAAAAGGTTCTGCTGTTGCAGGACAGTAATCTCAGCTACCTAGGAAGTTGAGACAGGAATCTGAGGCTGATGTCTCCCTGGGTTGTACAATGAGTTCAAAGCTATCCTGGACAACTTAAGGAGATCCTGTCTAAAAACAAAAGATGAAATGACGCTGAGGCATAGTAGTAGAGTGCTTGCTTAGCAGGATCTTAAAACTAAACAAAACAAAACAAAAACAGACATAACTTGCTGCTTTCTTTCAGGCCCTGACTGCCTCTTCTGAGTCCTATCTTACTGTAAACATGCCTGCATAATCAAGAAAAATACTATACATATGTGTGTGTATAAATAATTAGTACTATATATATACATACATATATATAATATTTGCAAATAAATATACCACCTACTTAAGAAACTTCCACAATCATTATGCTGGGCAAGGGACGGTTTAAAAGTCAAGGCATCAAAATGTACTAGTAACCTATACTGTTACAAATTTATAGTATAACTGCTGGGGCCATCCCTTGCCAAAGGAAATGGGGAGGGGCATTCCTTTTAGGAATAACAAGAGTCCTCTTTTAGTTGATTAGCTATCTGGGAGGGACCTAGTGCATTGACCAGAGATAAACAATTTCTTTTGCTAACTGCCTCCCATGTCTCCCCTTCCCTGCTGCCCTGATGACAGAAGGGGCCTGCCTTTCTCTGCAGCAGTTATCACTTTCTCTTTATCTGCCAGCCACGTGGCCTACACCAGGAATCCCAACCCACCCCACACACACCACCCCAGGTGTTGGCATGAGAAAGACCCCTGTTTAGTTCACACACCTGTGATTACTCTCTACACTCCTTAGCTTTCAGGGAATATTTTCATTTGCTGCTACACAAGAAAGAAAACTAAGCCTGGATGTGTAGCTGTTGCATTTATAAAGAAGGTAAATGGAACAGCTCAGGGATTTGTAGGTTAGAAGAGCAGCCGAGACCACTAATGTAGCAGGAGTAACCTCTGTGCTTGACTCGGGTAGGCAAAACTAAGCCCTAAGTCTTTAAACTCTTACTTGGTCGGGCTGGTAGAAAGCCCAAAGTCCTCATTTTGACAAACACCCAGACATGGTGACGAAAACAGGCTGAACTCCAGGGAGCTGTGTGCCTCCCACGCCCTTTAAAGCTCATTTCTGAGTCTACGCATTCTCTAGAAGCGAGCCAGAAGAAAGGGGTCAGAGAACAACAGTAGAAGACACTCTGTCACACACACTATATGCATGAAGCTTTGGCTGAGTCCTTAACCGCTAGAACTTCATTGTTCTCTTTATGAAAGGGGAAGTCGGGGTTAGGGCTCAGAAGTGACTCAATCTTAGAAGTTAACCATGAGGATTTTCTACTGCACAACCTCCAAGAATGGAACCTAGAGAGGTCAGAGGGAAAACAGCTCACCCGTGTGTGTGTGTGTGTGTGTGTGTGTGTGTGTGTGTGTGTGTGTGTGTGTATAGCCAGCTTGGTACTCTCTTAGTTGATCCAGAGTCCAATTCTTTTAACAGCTGTGTGGAGTAATTGTGTCATGCTAAGCGAAATTTTCTTTTACACTGGAGAAACCAGTCACTAGGTTGATAGAGAATACTTCACATGCCATGTTAGCCTACTACTACTACTACTTTTGCTACTACTATTACATACACACACACGTTTTCTAGTGTGCTTTATCAGTGCCCATAGCACACATTTCCTTACTGCCTTCCTCCCTCTCCTCCTACAGGAAGTAAACCGGGGTTATCTACTCCTATACACATAGAGCTTGAGACCTTGGACGAGCCTTGGCTTAACATCACCTTTGATTAGTTTTTAAAGGGCAAGGCTGGGTTACAATTAAGACCCTGAAACAGTCTCTAAACCATTTCTCACACTAGTCCAGGGTTTATGACCTTAGCAATACTGTCAATTTGGAGCAGGCAGTTTTATGAGGGGAGGCACTGCCCTGTTCCTTACAGGGTTTGCACAGCATCCATTGCCTCTACCTACTCAGGGACAGATTGCATCCTCCCCCCCTGGCCATGACAACAACAAATGTCTCCATTGAGACCCACACCCAGTCTTTACTAAATGGCTCCTGTATTTTTCAAGAAATTTTAAGCAAAGATGAATGTTCTCAAGAAATTCCTGGGTGGAGGGTGGCGGGTAGGCAGTGTTTGAAAGGAAGTTATGTGATCCATTCAGCCATACCTTTGGTTTAAATTTAAGTATAGGACTCAAGAAGTGTCAGGTTAAAATTTCCATTTCATAAATGGTATATCACAAAATGTGATCTTAAAAACCTGAGTTACTTCCTGCATGGTAACCACACAACTCTATAAACAGCAGCAAGGTAAAATAGTGTAATAAAGAAACTGGATTCACTTAAAATTATGCACCGCTCATTTTTGCAGCAAACTGTAAATGCCCAACTGGACAGATTTTTTTTCTAGCTAGCAGTGTTATTTTATAAAACAGTGAAACTTGCCTTTTAACTGTGAAGAATAAAACCAATTTATGATAGGCACACAGTGATTACTCTAAATCATAAAGTACAATGCTGTACTGTGTCTATCCTGATACAGAGCTGTAACTTAACATGTGAAAAGCTAGTCAAGATTCCATTAAACTGAAGCCAGGACTCACAGCAGAGCTCCCCGCTCCTTACGCACAGAACAATTCTATATACACTATGTCCTTCCTGTGTATTCAGGAGTGTTCATTTTCATTAACGTGAAAGAGTAAACTCCAGAGTTAGAAGGTAAACATGGGGGCAAATTTGGGAGCAAAATATTTACTACTTTGAATTTTAAAGTATAAAGATGTAGCCGTTGTGTAAATATATAGATTGTATTGTTTGTACTTGACTTTGGCAACTGAAGCCAAAATGTAAATGTATATATTGCCCAACTGTATTAGAATTGTCTATTTTTAAAAGAGGCGATTGTCTTATTTCCTTCAGACATGATGAGTAATCTTGGTAAGATGTAATGGTTGCAGGTTTGAAATAAGTATGCTTTGTCATTTTACTCTCCACCAAATGTAAATGAGATGAATATATTTGTTGTACGCCAACTTGGTGAATTTATTTGATTTCTTAGAGACTATTAAATTGCAGTAATTGACATAAATAAAAGCTTCTCTGATATCATAGCACAAGAACCAAACAGAAAAGTTTTATTTAATTGTAAATTGTTCTTTTCATACCCTGTCATTAAATATCATTAAAATTGTTTTGAAATTAAGCTACTCTACATGGATTTTTATTACAAAGTTACAAATTTCAGTATGTCTTAGGGACTGCTTTTGCTTCAGAACGCATTCAAGATTTAACTTAGGGAGACTCTGGATGTCAGTAGCACAAGTTTCTGGTCTAGTAGAACATCAAAGCACAGTTAAAACATTTGAAGTGAGACGTGACTTAAATGTTAAGAAAAAATTACACACACTGGGATGAACACACTGAAGAACTGAAGCTAAATGGACTTGAGCTTGCAGACTGCCCTCACTCTATGCATGGACTTGAGCTTGCAGACTGCCCTCACTCTACGCATGGACTTGAGCTTGCAGACTGCCCTCACTCTACGCATGGACTTGAGCTTGCAGACTGCCCTCACTCTATGCATGGACTTGAGCTTGCAGACTGCCCTCACTCTACGCATGGACTTGAGCTTGCAGACTGCCCTCACTCTATGCATGGACTTGAGCTTGCAGACTGCCCTCACTCTACGCATGGACTTGAGCTTGCAGACTGCCCTCACTCTACGCATGGACTTGAGCTTGCAGACTGCCCTCATTCTACGCATGGACTTGAGCTTGCAGACTGCCCTCACTCTACGCATGGACTTGAGCTTGCAGACTGCCCTCACTCTACGCATGGACTTGAGCTTGCAGACTGCCCTCACTCTACGCATGGACTTGAGCTTGCAGACTGCCCTCACTCTACGCATGGACTTGAGCTTGCAGACTGCCCTCACTCTACGCATGGACTTGAGCTTGCAGACTGCCCTCATTCTACGCATGGACTTGAGCTTGCAGACTGCCCTCACTCTACGCATGGACTTGAGCTTGCAGACTGCCCTCACTATGGCAGTCCACTCAATGTTCCGGTATGAAGTGACTGTGTCGCCCTCTATATCAATGTTAAATCATTTCCCACTCAGGTATCAGGCACTCCCTCATATGAATTCTCACCCAAAAATGTACAGCCTTCTACAGAAAACTTGTGTTTAAGAGGTAAGCCAGAAGAAAGAACCTTTTGTTGTTATTGCTTTGGTTTTGGTTTATTTTTCTTTACAGAAAGACCCTACATTGCTTCATTTGAAAGCTTTAGACAATGTATTTGACCACACTCTTTCCCCTCATTTGATTCTTCCTAGACCCTCCCACCTCCCTACTCACCAAATTTTGGTTTTGTTTCTCCTCTCTCCTTCCCCTCCTCCTCAAAAAAAAAAAAAAAAAAACAAAAAACAAAAAACAAAAAAAAAAAACGGACAAAATAAAATAGAACAAAAAAGAATGGAATCCATTTTGTGTGGGCCAACTACTCCAGGGCACAGGGTCTGCCCTGGGGTGTCATTGATAGATGAAATGTCAATCTATTAACTTTCCATTTCCCAGCAGGGATCAATTGCAAATAGTTTATTGGTCAGAGTGGGCCTTATGCCCACTTCCCCTTCTCATTGATGGCATTTAAAACCTGAATTAAATCCATCATCTTGTCCCATACAGGTAACTGTATAATAATTTTATATTTACTCATTTTAAAGGTAATTGATTCCTTTTACTGTTCTATATTAGTATTAAAGATTACAAACAAAAATTCTCTAAAAATCTGCCCCTCACCCTTAATTTTTAAATAAGATAACAACTAAAGATCAAACATTAGGAGACATTTAAGGATCACTCTAGCCTTACTTATAGGATGGTTACACTAAACTCAACTTTTTGGTTCTAGTCAGTATAAAATGTAAGTCAGTCACATTTATAGGGCTGGATCTACTGCCCTCTGCTGGATGATTTCACTAATTACAACACACAGTGTTGCCCACTGGTTCATTGAACTGGACACTTTTTCATATGTGTATATGGTACAACTTACGTCAGGGGTGTTTAACTGGAGACACAGTATGCAAAACCAACAGCACCAGAATTCATCTAACAAATATCTGGTGAATACTATAAGCTCAAGCACTTTGGTGACGACGCCCTTGATCTCAAGGAGTTGAAGCCAATGACGCTGATAAAACTGCTGCATGTAGTACTTCAGAGAGCATCGGGTGCCATAACACATCATGAGCACAGGAAATGGGCAGGGTTCTACTTTCAATCAGAGCAGTCTGTGAAAGCTCTCTGTCTACACAACACTCAGAGGCTGGAACAAAGTAAAGAAGCAGGGTGCATAAATCTCAGAAGAACAATCTAGTAGCGGTGGGAGGACTTGCCCACACCAGCCACAGGAAAGCAGCAAGCCTGCAGCAGGATGGGAGGTGAGGAGGAAGACTAGTGCTATGCTGGATCACAGACTCTCCAGTGCTGAGATTAAAGGCGTGCACCACCGCTCTCAGCAGTAGCAGAGATATCTTAAAACTTGAATGCATTAACACCAAATGCAACACATTAACACCAGGGGTGCAAAATCCTACGAATATACACAGTGGCCCAGTAACCTAATGTGTTTTCAGGGTTAGGGTAGCTGACTCCAATGCCTAGCTCTTGATCCCCCACAGATGCAGACTGAAGCTTGGGGAAGAGCAGGGAGATCCTAAAGTGAGAAGGTTGACATACACAGATGACCCCAAACACTAGCAGAAGTGGGTGCAGACTTTTCTCTCTTCCAAGTGTCCTTCTGATGCAATCCTTAGGGGTGGACGAAGGAACAGAGACCAAGTAACCAAGAGATCCCTGAGGATACAGGGCTATCCTGTTGCTCACAGCCGTCAGGACAGATAATGTTCTTATAATAATAAAGGTGGGGGACAGGGGTGCGGGGTTGTCATATGATAGGCTTTCAGAAAACATCTGTTGAACATATGAACTAATTAGATAAAATGTGGTTTTCCTGGATATAATAGGATTACTAAGCTACTTGCCAAAAAAGAAAAAAGAAAAACCTCTTCAGTGTGTTTAAAAGTAGTATTTATTCTTAGTATGAATGTTGCTAATTCTATGATGATGTTAATTATCCAGTTATGCTGGTATTTTAATTATTTGTGAGTTCAGAGTGCCCCTTAAGCCCCCACCCACACCACACCTATATGAAGTGACAGATGTGTTGTTCATCTCGGTTGCCATGGTCACAACACAAGCATTCCAACGCCACATTACAGAACTCAAATATATTTTACTTGTCAAATATATGTCAATAAAGTCAAAAAATTCAAAACAAATTCTATGAGACTTTTGCACACAAACCTGCCATGACAGCTTCACCAATCCAAAGCTAGATGTTTGGTATAATAATCTTGCAGAAAATTTGTTTAGTAATAACTTCACACAGGCTAATGTTACATAAACATTATGAAAACTATCCAAACTACGTTAATAAATAATTACATAATCTCTCTAAACAGTTGTGAGCCAACTTTTAAACATCAGACACCATTTTAATACAAACCACTTGCTGCTTGCTAGTTATTTTGCAATAATTTATGCTAATTTGTACAGACATAAGAATACTGATAACTAATGAAATATAAAAAGCTTTATTGTATAATTAATAGATTTTGACGTCATGGCAGTCTCTGTAATATGAAATTCCTTAGGTATTATCACTGACGATAAACACTGAAGTCATAGCGGAGTCTATAATATAAAATTCCTTAGGTATTATCGATGACTATAAACAAACAGGATCTACTTTTAAGCTATTTGAATCGTGATTTGTTTAGTTTCACTTTCAAGTTATGTAAGATATGTAATATCAAAACTGACAATGACTTTCTGATCCTGCCAATTTTTTGTAATACATGCTTGACAACAGGGCTGTCAATACACTGTGGGACAGAGAGGTCTTCCTAGGACAGCTGACCATAAAAGGAAGGCCACAGCTCATTGTGAGCAGGCTGAAGTCAGGGTTAGTCACTGAAGGGTGCTCTAGCACCTTATCTCATGTTTAAACTCAGCCATTTCTTCCCATCTTTGGGCAGCCCCTCTTCCCACACACTCATGCACTCTGTCTACTATTCCCTCATTGGTGTAGCCTAGGAAATTGGTGACCACATTTAAGACTTAGTGAACCAAAAATTAAGTGACTAATCACCAGCTGCCCAGAAGCATTCTTTGTTTCTTTTCCAAGATGATGCTGATTCTTCATATATTTCCTAAAAACACAGAACCACAGCAGATATTGTTAACAAGAGAGAATAAAAGACACTTGAAAAAGTCAGACAAGAGAATAGTACATCTATTGCTACCACCCACCCCTTTTAGCAATCTAAGTGACACTTCCATGAGGCACCAAGAGTACAAACATAGATGACAGGCCAGAAGTTTTCACAGGACAAGATGCAACTATAGAAAAGGGTAAACAATTCCATCTGGACCACCCACCTCTTTCATCTCTACTTTATCAAGAGTTAAATTATGAATGAGAAAATGGAAAGTCTTTAGCTTTAAACCTTTTTTCTTTCCCAACTCACCCACTTGGACATTCCTAAAATTAGAGGTGGACTGGATTTCCACCAGCTGTGAAGTTACGTGAGTGGCTGGGAAGTATTAAAGCAGGCCTGTAGTGCAGTCCCCTGTGACCTGTATCTATCTATCTATATATCTGTCTGTCTGTCTGTCTGTCTGCCTGCCTGCCTGTCTGTATGTATGTATATATATATATATATATATTCCTCTCTACCTGCCTGCAGCCCCCTTGCCTGTGTCTCGGACGATCTTCAAGTGTGAACTAGACAAAGAATCAGCTGGAACTCAGACAACCCAACAGGAGGAGGAAAGTCACTGTCTATTCCCACACTGGCCAGATTTCATCTCTACAGTGAGAGCAATCCAGATTCAACTACCCTTAAATTTATTCCCGTAGTTTCCACCTCTAAGACTCATCTCTTCTCCTTTCTCCTCTTCTCCCCTTCCTCTTTCCTCTTCTTGTCTTCTCTCATTCCCTCCCTCCCCCTCTCCATTCCCTCCCTTCCTGTCTCTCTCACCCTCTCTAACTGCCAGCACTCATGGAGGCCTACTCTATACCATGTGTTCCTTGAGGCATATATATGTTTGTGCTTAAACTTGGAAAACAGCTCTACATAAACGCACTATAAGGAAAACAAGATTCTACAGATATGCAAGGCATATGAAGCCAAATTCTGAATGTATTCTTCACTCACATCCTTGACCTATGAATAAAATCATGTCCACATGGCAAAATGAGGCACGGTCTTCACTTACCTTTTTCCATATGGGTACCTTGGCTTTCAAAGAGTCAATGGCATAGCTCACAGCTTCAAGGGACGCAGCTCTGTGAGCTGAGGACACAGCAATAATTGTGCTTGCTTCTGACACTGGAACCAAACTGTAACAAGATGACGAAGAAATAACCAACATCTCCCAACTCACATATTAAAGAAACCGCTAAGAGGGTGGGACAATCTGTATGTATATTAGCGTTATAGTGTAATTCTATTTTATTTGAATGTCTAGTTTAACTAGAAAATGAGAATTCATGTCAGTTATAGTTAGTGGATATTAGCATCTATCCATAAAACTTTGGTGGGGACTAAGAAGAAAAGGTTATCTCTAATTCAGTAGTTTACAACCTTCCTAATGCTTTGACCCTTTAATACTGTTTCTTATATTGTGGTGATCCCCCAACCATAAAATTATTTTCGTTGTTACTTCATAAATGCAATTTTGCTACTGTTGTGAATTGAAATGTAAATATCTGTGTATTCCAATGGTCTTAGGCAACCTCTGTCAAAGGGTCATTTAGATCCACAAAGAGGTCATGGCCCATAGGTTGAGAACCACTAACAGAGATCTAATTCAAACAAGGTTCAGTGTAAGATGGTATATAAAGACTAAAGTGACCATGAACACTTAACATACAATTAAAAATAATAAGTATCAGTTAATCTTAAGCAACAGGATCGGCAACACCCAGTAGTATTACCAGTTAGTAAAAAAATTATAGCTAACAACAAAATAATGACAGATGTCTTAACTGCTGGCTTTTTCTAAAATCCTAAAATGCCATTCTTTTTGGTAGTATGAAAAATGAACTGTTTTTAACAGCTTCAGATCTGTAGCCAACTTTCAAAATACATGAAGCCCAGAGCCCAGAACAACTGTCCTAAGGCCTCAAAGATTTAAGAGACATTCCCACAGGCACTCAGGCCAGGACCTGAAAGTCTTGGTGGCTAAATTTCATTAAAGCAAAAGAGAGAACGAGGGCATCCAAAGCTGCAATCCAACAAGCAGTCAAGGCAGATGCTGGGAGCCCTCCCTATTGTCCTGGGGGCTCTGGGGGTTGGGGGCCGGGAGGACAGGGGTAGGGTGGGATGACAAACCTTCCTTTCTCTGTAAGGGAGAATCTGAGGCAGTATCAATATATAGACAACCATATACAACATCCGAAAGATAAGGAAATCCTACCCAAGTCGATGGAACATCGCAATATGTCTGACTGGCCATTTCTGCCTAATGTCATTACAAATTTTTCTGATTTCATTTTCTGCCATTGGTAGATATGCTTCATATTCTAAACTAATGACTTTTTTGCCTTCAAAGTTATTTCTTGTAGTCCCTAAAAAGAAAAAAAACATAATCACACAATGAAAATAAGATTTGTCCTATAGTAGAAATACTTGATTTACAGAATTTTCTTAAAAAGGATTATTTCTAACTTACAAACAAGTGGTGTACATTTGTCTAAAACCTACTTCAAATTTTTTACAAGAAAACTTGACTAGGAGAACAAAAGATAATTATCTCCAAGATGATCAGGAAATAGTAATAATTACGCAAACTCTCTGAAAGCACTCATATGCCCAAACAAACTGTGCTCCTCTTCTCCCCAGAGCTGTTTCATACATAAAAGGAAAATATCTGTGTTCCCAGTATTATCAACAAACACATTTTAGCTCAATATTTGGAAAGTACAAAATTTCTTTCTTAGCATTGACTTTTATCATGCCTTTATTATCCATGTAATTTATTATAGTTTGTTAATCAAAAAGTAACTAAGATAAAACTAAAACTGGCGAGCTTCTGTCCACTTCCATGGGCAGTCTTAGTGTGCCATTCAGGACTGTGTGAGCTTTGACCGATAACACTAACATAGAAGGCACTCTGTGTCCTTTGACAGTTGATACTAACTTGGAAGGCACTCTGTGTCCTTTGACAGTTGACACTAACATGGAAGGCACTCACTAGTTTCTACTCTGTAGAATCAGAGAAGATTACAAACTCACCTACAAAGAGAGACACTGCACCACACATTGGGGAGATCACCAACTGTGAGACTTCATCCACTGACAGTTTCTCAGCAGTGAACTGTATTATGTCCTTAGGTTTCTCTTCAACCTCATCCACATCTTTCCTAGAAACAAGGCATCAACAGCCCTCAGCAAGAATGTCAGAAGTAACACAGTCCACCTTTTTGTGGTTTCCATATCCATTTTTTCTATAGCAGGTGGGAAGAGGATAAGAGATAAGTCCAAAGTTTTAACAAACTAATACAACTACTACTATCCCTCATGAGTCTACAGGAATTGACTACAGGCATGACCATTCACATGTGTCCATATCTTGTGCCAAAATACTCCAAGAATGTAATAATTGCTCATCTCTCTCATCACAATCCAATTGAAGTATGACCACTTTCATCTGTATGTATGTCATCACTAAACACTAAGTACCCAAGCCCCACACCACCTAGAACACCACTAACCACTATATAACCAAGCCCTATATACTTAGAACATCACCAAACACTATGTAACCAAGCTCCATACCACCTAGAACATCATTAGCCACTATGTAACCAAACCCACATCACAGAGAACATCACTAACCACTATGCAACTGAGACCCACACCTAGAATGCCCTTTTCCTTTATTCAAGCAAGAGATGGGAAAAGGGAAGGGATGATGATTCCATAGGAACAAGGTGCCCTCCACAACCTGGCTCAAGCCCAGCAAGACGAGGAGGAAAGAAGGCAACAAGTGTGACCTCCTATTTTCTAGGTATTGTGTAAAGTCTTCATTTATTCATCAAACAGTATTATGCAAAGCTATCTGCTTATACTATGCTGGGTAGTTTCATGTAGATTTGACACAAGCTAGAGTTATCTGGGAAGAGGGAACCTCAATCTGCCCCTTTCAGATTGGCTTTTTCTTGATTGATGATTGATATGAGAGGACCCAGATCACTGTAGCAAAGTGTCACTTTTAAGCTAGTGGTCCTAGGTGCTCTAAGAAAGTGGTCAGAGCCAGACAGGATAAGCAAGCCATGCGGACAAACCCAGTAAGCAGCATTCCTCTGTGGCTTCTGCTTCAGGTCTAGCCTTGAGTTCCTGTCCCGATTTCCCTCAACAATGGAGTACAACCTGAGAGTTGTAAGCACACACAAACGCTTCCGTTTCAACTTGCTTTTGGTTATGGTGTTTGTCATATAAGTAGAAATTCTAAGGGCCAGAGACTACCCTAGGCACTGGTCTGTGGGGAACAAAAACACAGGCTCCTGGCCTCATAGTGCTCACATGTGAATATGAGAAGCAAACCGACAAATAACCACAGGACCAGAAAGATGGTTCAGCAGGTAAAGGTACTTGTCGTCAAGCCTGACTACCAAGTTTCAAGCTCAGGACATACATGGTGGAAGGAAAGTCAACTCCTACAAGTTGTCCTCTGACTTCCCCATGCATCCTGTGGAGTGTACACACACACACACACACACACACACACACACACACACACACACACACACACACACACACAGAGACAGACAGACAGACAGAGAGAGACAGAGACAGAGAGACAGAGACACAGAGATAGAGAGAGAGAGAGAGGGGTATCACGAACCTACCACGTTGAGATAACTTAATAGAAATAAATGAATTTCTCAAACAGGTCTCTGAGACTGTTGCAGATAAAGGGATTCCAAAGGTCTCTCTAAAGAGGTAATGTTCAAAGTCAAGGCCTGAGAGATAAGAAGTAACCAGATGAAGAAAGAGAACAGGGTGTAGGTGGTGAAAGGGAGTGGCAAATGTCAGGACTCTGGAACAATAAAGAATATGATATGCCTTGAAGCACAGGAGTAAAGGGGAGAGGCTAGCCTGAAGCTGGCCAGGTAAGAGGCCATGAGAAGCATAACTAGAAACCCCGTGACGGTTCATCTGATTAGAACAATGAAAGAAGGCTCAGAGAGGTTATTACAGACAAGTTCAAAGTGCTGAGAATCTAAGAACTCCTAATCCAGTGTTTGTTTCCCTGTTATCCAACTGACTCCCAGGATTTCTCACATTTCCGTGTGCCAATGGAGGGGCTTAGCTCCTTTACACCAGTCGTATTTATATCATTGCCATTTCATAACTGTAATTTTGTCTCTGTTATGAACCATAATGTAAACATCTAATGTGCAGGGTTTCTGATATGTGAATCCTGTGAAAGGGTCATTCAAGCCCCAAAGAGGTCGTGACCCACAGGATGAGAACCACTGCTTTACCCCATTTTCTTTCCTGAGAACACAGAAACCAAATAGGTCACCTATGTGCTTCCAACCATTCTGAGTCCTTATACCTCTGATTGTACTCAAGCTCTGCTTGCAGGTTCTAAAATTAGCTAGGACAAATCACTCAAACATGATATGATGCTATTAGCAATCTTTCGCACCTTTCTGAATAGCTGCAACTACAGGTACAGGCTTTAAAAGCAGCACTCCCTGAGGTTACCATGGTGACATGTTGATCAGAGTGTCCATTTGAAACTAAGATCCATCTCTAACAGGGAATCCTCTCATATCCAGACAGCCGGCCTGAGACAGACCCCCAAGTGTGGACACGCTGGCATCTGCTATCCAGCTTTCCAGGAACGTGAGGCAGAGGAAAACTGGTACCTTTGGCTTGTCTCTAATGGGGATAAACCGTTGCCTCTGTGTAGGATATTTACTGTTGTTTTAGGGCGAAAAATTCCTATCATTTTTTTTTATCCACAGCTCAAAGAATTTCTAATCAATAATAATATAGTTTGCAGTTTATCTCTTCTTCAGTTGACAATAACATAAGCTGTTTTGACTCGATCCTTAAGCTTGATGCTCCCACACTACCCAAAAGAACATGTACATGCATCCCACTCCACCATGAGCTAAACTGCCTTTGGAGCCACACTGCCACACAGCTGTGAAGCCGCACTTTGCACTGGGCAGTGACTGACTGTCTTGTTAAGTGGGACATTAACCATTTCACTCCCTACTTGTATAATTTCTTTACGTCCGAGGAAGCTGGCATCAAGTCTGAGCAACCACATTCGTCAAGGAGTAAACAGGACCATATCACAAAGACAAATTCAAATTTGGGTTCTGTCACTGTGACCTAAGGCCATGTTTAAACCATGTGACCAAAGCAAGGTTTTGTGTGTGTGTGCATATGTATGTGTGTATTCATGAACCTGAACAGCAGGTATGCTTGAGTGGAAGTCAAAAATCATCATTAGTGTCCCCCTCAATCACCTTCCACCTTATTTTTTGGAAACAGAGTCTCTCACTGAATCTGGATCTCACAGGCCTATACATCCTGGGGAATCCATCTGCCTCCGCCTTCCAGTGCTGCAATGGGATGTATATGCTGCCACATCTGGCTTTCACAGGGGTGCCGAGTCTCCAACCCAAGTCCTCATTTCTATACAAGCATTTTACAGACAAAGTAACTCCCTCAGCCCCCTAAGATGAGGGTGTTTTTTTTTTTAACTTCTCTGAATTTGTTTCCCCACCATCCAAATACAAACATAAGAAGATCTCAATAAGCAATGTTAAGGGAATATAAGGAATATGTCAAACTGACATTCAACTGCTCACCGTAGAAGTGATGGGAGATGGTACAGTGTCCATAACTACCTACCATCAGTTATCTCAATTACTGTTGTACCATCAGCAAAGGGCTGGTGCAGACAGACTCACAAAGAATATACAGTAACAGCAAACCACATACACAAGACTGGCTAAGTAAAAGAGATACCGCATACCTAGATGGCTCCGATGCACTATCCTCCACTAATTGGAGGGATAATGGCAATTTCGTCTCCGGGCTGAAGCAGGAGTTGCTGATCTCCAAGCTCGACATACTCTTGACGAACAGCAAATATCACCTGATTTCTAACATCGGCCAACCTGAAAGAGAAACGGTCTGAATAAAGTTGCAAAGTGAAAAAACAAAAAGAAGAAATTCCAAAGTGACCTGCACCTCACATCTCCTCAGCTGCATCTAAGAAATCATCACTCACAAAGGTATGAATCTAACTCTTGGTGCACATCCCCTGAAGAAGATACTTGGTTACAAAGATAGGTTAGATTACTATTTGCTGAAAAGCTTAATGTTTGGGGTTGAAAGAAACAAATACCCCCAAACAGGTAGTATTCAAAACTTAAAAAAAAAAAGAAGGAAAGAAAGAAGAACTTCCCATCCAGACCATGGCCTTTTCACAGCCCTGAGTGTCGTAGATGTGTAATAAGTCTCACTGAGAAGTCTCCCACGAGGACAGCTGTGTCGCTGCAGGTGGGCAAAACAGCACAAAGGTCTTGCCAACTTTCCACTGAAAGTAAGCCCAGTCTCAAAGATTCCTAGCCAGGGAGAAGTATTTCGTGCTGAGCACACAGTGCAGCACTGAGTTCCGGGTTACCCCTCCCTCTCTATGCAGCACTGAGTTCTGGGTTACCCCTCCCTCTCTATGCAGCACTGAGTTCTGGGTTGCCCCTCTCTCTCTATGCAGCACTGAGGAGTTCTGGGTTATCCCTCTCTATGCAGCACTGAGTTCCGGGTTACCCCTCTCCATGCAGCACTGAGTTCTGAGTTACCCCTCTCTCTCTATGCAGCACTGAGTTCGGGGTTACCCCTCCCTCTCCATGCAGCACTGAGTTCTGGGTTACCCCTCCCTCTCTATGCAGCACTGAGTTCTAGGTTGCCCCTCTCCATGCAGCACTGAGTTCTGAGTTACCCCTCCCCCTCTATGCAGCACTGAGTTCTGGGTTACCCCTCCCTCTCTATGCAGCACTGAGTTCTGTTACCCCTCTCCATGCAGCACTGAGTTCTGGGTTACGCCTCCCCCTCTATGCAGCACTGAGTTCTGGGTTACCCTTCCCCATGCAGCACTGAGTTCTGGGTTACCCCTCTCCATGCAGCACTGAGTTCTGAGTTGCCCCTCCCCCTTGATGCAGCACTGAATTCTGGGTTACCCCTCTCTATGCAGCACTGAGTTCTGGGTTACCCTCTCTATGCAGCACTGAGTTCTGGGTTACCCCTCCCTCTCTATGCAGCACTGAGTTCTAGGTTACCCCTCTCCATGCAGCACTGAGTTCTGAGTTGCCCCTCCCCCTCTATGCAGCACTGAATTCTGGGTTACCCCTCTCTATGCAGGCAGAAGCGGCACTATAGGCATCGCTGGGGCATTTTCAAATAAATCCTTCTATACTCCATCCTAGAGGGGCCTGAGGTAAAGATGATGATGGTTACACTTCAAACTTCCAGACAAGACCAGGAGGAAACTTTTCAAAAGTCATAAAAACCCAAGCTCAGCAGAGTGTAGGGTTTGTTATATTTTTTTTTAATCTCAGAAAACTTGGAGTATTCCAAAGAAAAGGACAGAAACATTTACAGTGAATATTTTAATAGCATCTTTTACATGATCATCTTCGGTTATAAAGGCAGGATTTATATCTTTTGTCTTAGAAATTATAAGAATGATTGTAAATTATATAGATGCCTTCCTGTGTCTTTTTTAGTAAATTGCCTGTACTGTTCCTTGTGGCACTTGAATATTTCTTAATACCAAAGTTTTAAGAGTTCAAGAAAATGACAACTAGTACTCTTATGTTAACACACACACACACACACAATTTACACATTTTAAAAACATTCAAGGGGTTGGTGGCGCACACCTTTAATCCCAGCACTCAGGAGGCAGAGGCAGGCAGATCTCTGTGAGTTCGAGGCCAGCCTGGTCTACAAAGTGAGTTCCAGGACAGCCTCCAAAGCTACAGAGAAACCCTGTCTCGAAAAACCAAAAAACAAACAAACAACAAAAAAAAAAACCATTCAAGGATCCATTATATGCATTCTACAACTTTAACTACCCAGGATGTAGTGTCTCTAGCTCCTTCCACAGCTGCAACGCCTTGATTTCTTGCGGCACAGAAATGGTCTCTGAACGAACTCCAGTAATTTCAGCACTTTTTGCAAAATACAACACTTCAATCTGAAAGGAGAAAGGATTCTTTGAACAACCCGCACTGAGAAGTTTCCAAGTGTAAGTGCTTATACAACTTCAACATTTGCACAGGTTCGTATTTGAGACAAACGTTTTACACTCAGTTCTGACTTCTTCGTACTTTTCAAACCTGTCACAGGCTTGTGTGGCACCATTAAATTCTAGTACATTTCGTTAGAAAACATGGTAAGTCTGACCTCAATCCACACAGAAGTGATTCTTCTGTAAATCACACAACAGCGAACATGGGTCTGGGTCAGGAGGTGAATTACGCAAGTAAAATAAACAACCCAATCAGCAAAGGCCTAGCTTTCACTTCACGGTGGCCAAATGACCTTTGATTCCAGTCCACATTACAATTAAGTTACACAACACACAAAACTTGACATGCAGCAAAGCAAATGGGCTTGAATTACAGGGTAAACTGGTACTGATTAGGCCAAACCTGAGCAATCAGCCTGGGAACTAAGGGACATACGTGAGCAAAAACCGGTTCACTTGTCTCTCAGGACAACTTAAGTCGCTACGCAATAATCACGGGGTCTGCAAATTATCCAGGGCCTGCCAATCCATAGGGGACACACATTCTCCTTTCAATAATTCTTAATTGGGTGCGACTTAATTGTAAACAGCGTGTCTGTCAAAAGGAATCATCAGGAATGACAGGAAAACAACAAGTCTAGGGGCCTTGAGAAGGGAGTCGGTCCTGCAGGCCACACCAGAGTTCGGGGACAGAACGTGACATTTAGTGAGCTGCAGGCACAAGGCCCGGAGCCAGGGAGGGGAGGGAGAGGAAGGTCCTCCCGAGCAGGGCCGGACCTGTGGTGGAGCCCCGAGCCCAGACTAGCTCGCTCGCGCGTACCAACTCTTACCTGGCACCGGGGAACCATCCCGCTGCATACCGGGGAGCCGGTTTACCAACGCAGAGGCGCCTGGTGACTCAAGACGCATGCGCAACCAGATGCTCCACCTGCTCCGTTTTGCTCAACACTGAGCATGTGGACACTGCGCGTGCGCACGCTTCGCTCCGCCCCCTCCCTCCCCGCCCCGCCCTGCCCCGCCTCTCTCTACCCCAGCCTGCTTTTGGCTTCCAGGAAAGTTCAGTACTGCAGTTGTTTGTTCCTTTGCTTTTGGGTCTCTGATCTGCAGGTCAGCTGGTGATCTGGCGGGGTGGCCTTCCCCTTCCCCTCTGCGTTCTCTCCATCCAGTGTGAGATTCAGGTTCTTATCCCAGCCTGGGGACCATATCTGACACTTAGTGCTCTGGGCGCTCATAGTTTCTGAGTCAGTGACTCCATCCAGACCTCCTAGCTGCAAGTCTCTGCCATAGGTACGTGGATTGAATGAAGTAGCCCTCCCTCGGCACTCAGTCCTGAGAGAAGACTTGTAAAGGTTTATAGTAAGTGTGCCCCAAGTGTAATCCTAGGAAAAAAAACATTTTATGACAGTGGAAGGGGGCGTGACTGAGTTACCTGCTGTAAGACTCACCAAGAGGAGATGCTTGTGTAAATAAATTTACCAAAATAATAACAAATACGGAGGATTTCACGTCTCTGTGTCAAGCCATAGAAATGTGAAATTGGGTAATAAATTCCCAGGAGGAAAATAGTTGGCAAGGTGGGTGTTCCCAGATCTAGGAAAGAAAAGAAATACTGGGGGGAGAATAAGCTTGATTTATAATTTACATCAACATATATTTCAGTAAGTTGTGAAACACTAAGATAGAGGATTTACGTCCACATCCTGCTAGGAAAACAAGGAAACTGTGACCATCACCCTTGGCTCCTCAGTGGCATCCAACGACAACAGTGAGCTCTACTTACAGGAGATTAAGAAATAAGGTATGGCTCAGTGTGCTTATGCAGCCAGACTGGTGTGCCTAAAGACCAAAGCCAATTGCTCGTGGTGGCGGGTGGGGCTCAAAAGTACCCAAGAAGAACCCTTCCTAAAAACTAAAAAATGTCTTTGGTGGTCTCAGAGTTGAGTCAGAGGCTAAAAGCCCTGGATGCTCTTCCAGAGGACCAAGGTTCAATTCCCAGCATCCATGTGGAAGCTCAAAACTCTGTAATGCCAGTTTCAGAGGATTTGATGCTGTCCTCTGGCTTCACTGGGTACTAGGTGCACAGGTAGTGCTCAGACATACAGGAAAAACACCCACCCACGTAAAAATAAATTCTTTGCTGACTGCACAAAAAGAGTGTCTTATGTGATCAAGATATTCTGCATGACTAAGGAGTTAGTTTTAAATACATTGCATTTTGTTGTCTACCTTGGAAGTTATTTAAAACAGAAATTAAAATGAAGGAGATTCTGACCTGGCGTTGGTGGTGCAAACTTTTAGTCCCAGCACTCAGGAGGCAGAGGCCAGCAGATCTCTGTGAGTTCAAGGCCAGCCTGGTCTACAGGCAAATTCCAGGGCAGATTCCAAAGCAATACAGAGAAATGCTGACTTGAAAATCTAAATAAATAAATTCTTAACAGTGAAAACCCCTTCTTTGGGAAAGATTTCATTAAAGAGTGTGACTAAATTAAATAGCAGTAATATAGTAATAGCAAAAGCACAGCTCAGTAAAGTTTTAATCCACTCAAATATTATAAAGTCGATTATGCGACCATGATTATAGTCTAAAGTGTTCATGATATCAGAATAATATCATTTCTTTTTATAACATTAATGAAAATTGCCCAGAACTATGTAGTTACAAAACATCAAGTTTCTCCATAATTTCATAATAATGCCACTTATTTTACAAGATTCTTAAGTCTGGGAATGTAGTTTAGTATAAAGTCACATGTACAGCACTGAAAAATAAAATTTAAAAAATATTTTAGGAGCTAAAATAAATAAGGGTATAAAATGCCTTCAGTTTTTCTGATGGATTTGTTAATGACTTGGCTAATATTCTGAGTTATTAGTGGGGTAAATCTTTTCATGATTTTTTTTGCCTCTTATACTTCAAGTTTCTATTCATTTTTTCCTTCATTGCCCAATGAATAAAAAGCATACAGCCCTTTATCTAAGTTCTGGATTGCAAGCAAGAGTAACACCAGGATATTTTCATGTTATGCTAAAGACTTTGATATTATTTTAATTACAAACCCATTAATTACATAAGTGGAATATAATAAATTACAGTAAGAACAACAAAACCTCTTTATTAGCAAGGCAATTATTTTGCTTAAGTTACAATTTATTATAAACAATATCTAGAACCACCATTTTCAGTTAAAAAAATAAAAACATGTATTCAGATAAAGACACTTCCATTTTATTTCCAGACTTTTAAAAATGGCTAAATTCTGTGATATTAGAAATACAGAAGAATTTTGGTTCCTCAAAAAAATATCTATTAAGATTAATAAAGGTAATGTTATCTTAGGAATGGATTTCCAAAAAAATGTTCAGTTTCTTTTCCAAAAATAATAGTTCCCAGAAATGTCTGACAGGATCAGGGTTTGTCATAACTATTACAGCTGGAATGGAAAGGTATCCTGGTAGCCAGGAGCTAAAGAATACCACAAAGTCACACTGCACAACAAACTTCACACAGATTTATTGGGGGAGGGAGGAACCAGGAGGGTGAATTCCTCTGCTCAGTTGAGAAACAGCAGCAAACTGAATATAGAGTTTCTTGGGAAGGGGGTGGAATTTTACAGGGTGGAGCTTTCCAGGGTGGAGTCTGGGGGGATTTCATGTCCAGAGATTGTAGGGTGGGGACAGGGTCCGGCAGTGAGGCAAATTGGAGTATTCTGTAGGTAGTAGAACCTGGTAGTTAGAGGTGCTTGGAGGAGGGGACCTGGCCACTCCTGTGACTCCAGGGAATTATTCATTAGAGTTTCTAACAAACTTATTACATAAGTAACTGCATTCCCTGTCCAATTAACATTGTGCAAATACTTTTCACCGTTGCTACTGCACATTGCTGGTTTTTTTAAACATCCACCCGCCACGACCTTGAATTACCTGAAAAGGGAGTTACCCTAAAAATTGTGTAGATCAGGTTGGCTGTGGACATGTCTGTAAGAATTGCCTTGTTTGTCCTGGCGCTGGTCCCTACCCCGGGTCTTGAACTTGATAAGAATGAAGAAAGCCCAGAAGAAAGTGGGCAGTTCAGTGCAGCCATGTCCTTCTACTCTTGACTGTGGACGTGAAGTGGCCAGTTGTCTCGGGCTTCTGCCACTGCTGTGACTCCCTCTGTAATCTGGAGCCACAAGCCAAACAAACCCCTTCTTCCCTAAACTGCTTTAGGTCAGGGTGTTTTATCACAGCTCTTCTGTTTCTAAAATGCAATCTATCAGCCTATTGCAGACTTTTCATTTTGGTTTTGGTTTTGGTTTTGGTTTGGTTTGGACTTGGCTGTCCTGGAACTCACCCTGTAGATCAGACTGACCTCAAGCTCAGAGATTCACCTATCCCTGCCTCCTGAGTGCTGGGATTAAAGGCTTGCGCTACTACCACCTGGCTCAAAGATTTTCTAATCTCAATATTTGTATACTCAACAAACATCTTAGCCACAGCCTACTCCTATGTCTGTCCAAACATTTCTGTAATGTGTTTTTAGCTATTAAATCTAATCTAACCCTAGATACTGCATATCATCAAGGATTCCTGCTGGAATGACACTTGGCTTCACTGACTGGAAATCAGGCGCTATATTTAAAAATATAGAGAATAGATCTTCAGATCACAGTCTCTACATATCTCTTTGATTATAATAGAATTTATAATGGATGGAAATATTTCTGAAGATGTTTAGAGGCTGATGTGAGTTGAGTAGACACTAGAATAATGTCCTTAAAGTATTCCTGATGCCATTGAAAAACTGATGACATGATAGTTATTTTTTGAAAGGCTAGATTTACATAAATCCACCTGAAATTATGCATTTTAACAGGTGAAAGAAAATTTCAAACACCAATCCACACAAGTGACTTATAAAGGCAGATTTCTTATTAACGCGTATTATAAAAGCATACCTAGTGCAAAGG